ATCTTGACTTTTTAAAAAAGAAAATGCTTCACTGGTAGTCAGGGAAGCAAGCTCAATTTCCCAAACAAACAAAAAAGCTCAAAGAAGTCAACTACTATAATCACAACATAGTCCACCTCAGTGGTTGTGTTCATACAGTGGAAAGAAGTGAATGCATAAGAAATGGGGCTACAAAGTGGAATCCATGACATGTGAGTGTGGAGAAAAGCAAACCACTGACCACCTGCTGCAATGCAACCTGAGCCCTGCCACATGCACAATGGAGGATCTTCTTGCGGCAACACCAGAGGCACTCCAAGTGGCCAGATACTGGTCAAAGGACATTTAATCAACTACCAAGCTTGCAAAATTTGTGTTTTGTCTGTTTGTTTGTTTGTTTTGTTAAAAACGTAATACAACTGTCTGGTTGCTCCTGACACGATAAATAAATAGTGGGAAGAAGTGAATGCATATACCATTTTTAACTCCACGTTAAAGGGCATAAATCCATGAAATAGAAACAAGATATTTATGAGAGAAAATCTATTTTTCGAACATTAAACAACACTTGTTATTGCTTGTATTGTTATGTTTGGGCTCGGCCTCATGTAAGCCGCACCGAGTCCCTTGGGGAGATGGTAGCAGGGTACAAATAAAGTATTATTATTATTATTATTATTATTATTATTATTATCTCTCCATGAAGATGATGATGTGATGCTGATGAAGCGGTTTTACCCATTGGCTGGCTAGATAAGGATTTCTTGCTCTTTTATATAAAATTTCTTGCTCTTTTATATAAAATAAGCCAAATAAATGGAGGAATTCATAAAACTGAGATCAACATATGTCAAAACTTCAGAATATGGATGATGATTACTATTTAAAAATAATTAATTTCCATCTACCTAATACCATTTCTGCACTCATGGAAAAATAACTTATGCTAACTTACGGTACAGATTACTTTTTTTTTGTTTCTTTCTGGAATTTAGGTTGAGAACCACTAATATAAAACTACACGAAAAAACACTGTCAAGCCAGCTAAGCCAATACAAGGAATCAAAACACACAAGGCTGCAAAAGGAATCTCGTTTTGTGGCGAAAGACGAGCAGGACGGCGACGTAAAGGCCCCGAGGCGCCGGCCTGGCTTCCCCGAGGACCCCTCTCCCCATCCCCGCAGGACTCACAGTGCCATCTCGGCCTCCATTTCCTTCAGTCGCTCTTCCCCGCTCTTCCCGCCGCCGCCTCCTCCCGGCCCCATGGGCCCGGGCCCGACTCCGGGACCAGGAACCGCCGGGGCTGCCATGGCTAGGCCTCCGACGCCGCTCAGAGCCCCTCAGAACGGGACTGCTCGCCAAGCGAGGCTCTTTTCCGGCGCACACATGTGATGTCACTGCGCTCCGCCACTCCTTTTACCAGAGATGGGAATACGTCAGAAAACAGAGCGAACTTCCGGTTGCTCTGAACGCTCACCGCTACAGGATGTTCTTTTGGACTTCAACTCCCAGAAGCCTCAGCTGCCTTGGCCAATGGTTAGGAATTCTGGGAGCTGAAGTCCAAAACCCTAGAAGGCCCTGTAGGAAAGGCCAGGCGACGTCTCTCCTGGTATTTGGGCCTCCAACTCCGAGAAGCCCTATAATAATAATAATAATAATAATAATAATAATAATAATAATAATAATAATAATAATAATAATAATAATAATAATAATTTTATTTATATACCGCTTCATCTCCCCAAGGGGACTCAGAGCGGTTCTCAAGTAACATTACAAAACATACAGAGTAAAAACAACATAACCATAAGATTAACAAACAAAATATATGCATAAAAATTGCCGCCATAACACACATATATTAAAAATAATCCTGCCTGTTCAAGGCAATTTAAAAAATTTAAAAGGCCGGGCCAAGATTTGTGCAAGCCCAAAAATTCTAGGGGGGCAGGGAATTAAGTGCAATGCTATGGCAGGTAACAATCATATTAGGTAGGGGTCTGTGGCTGTTCATTCCGAGGCCCATTAGAGGAAAGAATCTGGGTAATTGGTAGGAAGAATAAGGCCATATTTGACAATGTGTAGGGCTGAGTTAGAACTGGTCATTTTCAAAGGCTTGTTGAAACCACCAGGTCTTCAAGCTCTTACGAAAGGAGGGGAGGGAAGGGGCCTGTCTTATTTCCCCTCGAAGGGCGTTCCAGAGGCAGGGGGCCACCACTGAGAAGGCCCTCCCTATCGTCCCCATCAACCACGCTTGAAATGGTAGTGGGACCAAGAGGAGGGCCTCCCCAGATCTCAGAGCTCGTGCCGGCTTATTCAATGGTCAGGAATTCTGGGATATGGAGGCGCAAACAGCTGGAGGGCCGCAGTTAGCATTTCTGCACAGTGCTAAAGCTCAGTAGGAACTATGCTGGTGTGCTTTCCTTCTCTTTCTGCTTAAGGCCCAAGTGGATTCAACATCCAGTGGCTATTTGTGTAGAACTAATTGGTCAAATGCACCTTCACCAAATTTTGGAAAAATTGAAGCTCAGGAGAAGCCCATAGGAGTTTAGAGACATTAAAATGTGTTGCCCTTTAAGAAAAATCAGGCATTAAAACCAACCAAACTGTATCTCAGTAGGAAATATTGTACAGTTCATAAACCCTGCCATTTTAATTTTATCGTATCAGGAGTAAATCAAGGGTACAGTTGTGACGTATTTAAAAAGCAAACCACAACAAACCACAAAGTTTGAAGACTTGGCTTCTGCGCATTAATAGAACTCTATCAAGGGCCACAAAACCGCATTATTGGCCCGAATGCTGATGCAACAGAGAAAAAAGCACAGATAGACTTGTTTATCGTATCAGGAGCGGACCTGATACCCACAAAGTTTGCAAACTTGGCATTCTTTTAAATGTCCTTTGACCAGTAGCTGGCCACTTGGGAGTGCCTTTGGTGTTGCTATAAGGAGGTCCTCCATTGTGCATGTGGTAGGGCTCAGGCTGCATTGTAATAGGTGGTGTGTGATTTGCTCTTTTCCACACGCGCATGTCATGGACTCCACTTTGTGGTCCCGTTTCTTAAGGTTGGCTCTGCATCTCGTGGTGCCATTGAACTTAAAAGACAGAAAGGGAGCAATTCATGGGCTGACATAAGGAACAATGACTTTGTTTCAGACAGAAAGCATCTTACAAAGCTATTTTTTCCCCTTCTATAAGGCTGGAGTTTAAAATGCCGGAAGAAACATTAACAACTTTAGATATGCTGGTACCACTTTGATGGCTGAGAGGAGCTGAGGAGCCTTCTAACCAAGGTAAAAGAAGAAAGTGCAAAAGCTGGGTTGCAGATAAACATAAAAAACCAAGATTATGGCAACCAGACTGATTGATAACTGGCAAATAGAAGGAGAAAATGTGGAGGCAGAGACAGACTTTGTATTTCTAGGTGCAAAGATTACTGCAGATGCAGACTGCAGCCAGGAAATCAGAAGACATTTACTTCTTGGGAGGAGAGCAATGACCAATCTAGGGACATCACACTGGCAACGAAGATCCGCCTAGTCAAAGCAATGGTATTCCCTGTAGTAACCTACGGATGTGAGAGCTGGACCTTAGGGAAGGCTGAGCGAAGAAGATAGATGCTTTTGAACTGTGAATAAATGTCATGAATAAATAAACAAATAAAATAGATCCTTTTGAACTGTGGTGCTCGAGGAAAATTTTGAGAGTGCCTTGGACCGCGAGAAAATCCAACCAATCCATACTTCAGGAAATAAAACCCGACTGCTCATTGGAAGGAAGGATATTAGAGGCAAAGATTAAGTACTTTGGCCATATAATGAGAAGACAGGAAAGCTTGAAGAAGACAATGATGCTGGGGAAAATGGAAGGAAAAAGGAAGAGGGGCTGACCAAGGGCAAGATGGATGGATGGCATCCTTCAAGTGACTGGATTGACTTTGAACGAACTGGGGGTGGCTATAGCCGACAGGGAGCTCTGGTGTGGACTGGTCCATGAGGCCACAAAGAGTCGGAAGCAACTGAACTAATAAACAATGAACAACAACATAAAAAAATAGATTCGCTAATTAACAAAATAATTGATGTGTTGGAATATGAGCTATAAAGACACACCAACCTTCCAAAGCAATAGATAATAATAAGCTTCATTAAAATGTATGGAAACATGGATCTATCCAGAATCCACTGATCCCAGGACTTGCTTCCAAGTACTCATGAAATATGCCTTACAATACATTCCTATACATTCCCTACAGACTATGTTTACAGCTTGAACAGTTATACATAATTAAAGTATTACTAATTGATCCTTAATTTCAGGTATCACTAGTTACTTCATTACACTAGAGAAAAAAATCCACTTAAAATCCAGTTTCTGCCTCCTGCAGAATTCTGGGGTTTGTAGTTTAGTGAGGCATGTTAAAGGTGCCTTCCTAAACTACAAACCCCAGAATTCTGCAGAAGGCAGAAATCGGATTTTAAGTGGATTTTTCTCTAGTGTGATAAGGTTAGGTGTTCTCAAATAGTATGATTATAGGATTTTGCTGTTGAATCAGTACTACTAAAAGTAGCACTTAAAGTAAAGGTTCTCTTCCAGATAACATCACATAACAGTTTTATCCGGATCATTAAGGGGAATTCATAGGTGGTGTTGCCTGCTTAATGATACATACAATTATAATAACATATCCAATAAATTCTCAGAACTCTCTACTGCCTGTGGGAACTGATCAGCTGCAAGTGATGGCTGACCCTGAGGAACTCAGCAATGCTCCTAATCCAACAACACCCAGCAGGTTTCTCATGTATAGGTTGTCTGAGGAATCTTATGCAGTGGAAATGGAGGCTTATGTCAAGTGCAGGAGCAGAATATGGTGCCCGGTGGGTGGGGGGTGGGGACCAGCTGCTGAACAGTAAGTTATACACATGACTTTTGAAGGATGTCCCAGAAACTTCAAACACTGCACACACCAAGAGGCCCAATGATACAAAGTTAATTCACTGATCCACAGACACAGCCACGGTTTTATGCCTTTAATTAGAATTTGTCACATCCAAGACTGGGTACTATTGATTAATGTTAGATGCTGAAGTGGAAAAGACCCAGAGAGATACTTCAGTTGATCCTTCAGAGTCATCACACGGAGGAGACTCAGCAGCAAAACAGTGTCCTGAAGAGGAGAGCAAATGGCAGACACAAGACAATCAGATCTTGCCTGGGAAAGTCCCCGCTTCTATACGTTCATCCCAGGAATTGACCTGCAAAAGACCAAGAAGCTTCTTTCATCATCAGTCCTATTGTCAGGAATACTACAGTGGCAAAGTGGCTAGGACTGCAGAATTATTATTTTTTTTAATATATATATATACTTCTGCTACTCTCGTTGATAGTTGTTAGGGTTTTGTTTGTTTGTTTGTTTTGGTAATGTCAATCTTTATCGAGGCCTGTGACCAGGCAATTTAAATAAGGAAGGTTCAATTATGTTTTTCTTACAATCACAATAGAGGAGGCAATAAAGAAGAACATTGGTCACTGGTTCAACTGCCCCTGAGCCACAGCGGGCACATGCAATCAGAAGAGATTTTCCAATAAGTGGAGGGAAATGAATCAAATCCTATGAATGTGAAGATGTTGATGATTAGGACCTGGAAGTGCCAAAATACTATTTGCTGGTTTGTATACATGACATACTCCGTTAATTAGTGTGGAATAGGTAATCTGGCCAAGATAGTGTTGATATTTAGTATTTAGGATATGTTGCTTAAAAGCTGCCTTGGCTGTTTCAATATCCAATGAGCTAAGATATCCAGACAGGAGACAGTACCACTGGTTTTTAATTTACTTCATCCTACATGCTGGGTTTGAGTCTACATTGACTCAAAACCAGCATGTAGTTTGAGGTAAACCAAAGCTAAAGGAAAAAAGATAAACTTCAGCAAAGTGGAATATAGTAAGCCAGGCTCTTGTTTCAACCTTCTGAATGCTGGCTTCTAAACACAGGATTGTATCTGAAATGCAGCAGGGAATGAAGGATGGTATCAATGATTTAGATCAAAACCTTCTGAATTAGAAAAATTGGAATAGGGATCCAATTGTGAACCATATAGAAGGTGATTAATGGTTTGGCCTCAAGTAACTTAATTACTGCTGGCACATAACTTTCACCTCGGATGTGGAAATAGTTTAGTAGGGTAGAGGTACTCCTGTGAGCAGACTGGCTTGCATAGTACTAAACATGTGCCCTCTAGCTATTATCAGCTTGAAAGACAACACTCATTTGGACAACTTGGAGTGTTGTATGGCTTCTGAGCTGTATGGCCATGCTCTAGCAGCATTTTCTCCTGACATTTCACCTGTATCAGTGGCTGGCATGTTTTTTTTTACTTGTTTGATCTATGATTTATAAACCATCTATATGGATTTAGCTTTCTTGCAAAGACAATAACCTTAGATTTCCAGTAATTAATTCATAAGAGTTCCTTATGAAAGCTCTGGCACAACAAAATTGCCTTGTTTGTTAAGGATAGGTTGCAGAAAGTTCACAAGATGGCATTTCACAAGACACTTCTGACCCCGATGTGGCTACTAGGCCTACTCTCATATTTCAGATTTCAGTCCACTTTTGGCTCATAAAAGGACCACCAGATTTATTTATGGCTATATACTATTTGCCTCAAACCGTTCAAACATGAAAAAATGCAGACACATTATATTTTAGGAAAACTGAACAAACTAATGTAAAACAAAACAAAATATACAGGTGCTTATTTTTAGTATTTTCATCACTTTTAACTCCTGTGACGACATTCAAAGGGCTTGAAGGGCACCTGAACTCTGACCCTCTTTTACTAAAATAAAGTTAGAATACCAGTGGCTGGAAGTAGCGACAGGAACAGACTGTTGAGAATTTCCCAGTCCCTCCTTCACCCAAAAACTTTGGAGGAACATCCAAATAGTCAATTTCCTTTGCTTTGTAGTTATGCGGTACAACTTTGGAATTGGAGAAGCATTATTTTTAATCCTCTTTCAATAATGCATCATAACATATGTTTCTCTTGCTATTTGCAATAATGCTAAGCACACAAAATTCTGACTCTACATATGGAAAGCTTATATCAAATGGGAGCATAATATCGATTCCACTCCTTTGTCATTTTTAGTGATGTAAGACACTCTCAACAATGCAAATGGCACTGGAATGATGGTTAACAGAACCTCATCGGAAAACAGACACAGAAATACGTTAGGCACTAAACAGATCCCCTATTTTTGCCCCTTTTCTCTCACACACATGAATTCCTGATTATAGTTTAGTTCTATTTCCTTACCCAAGAAATAGGGCAAAGGGACTTGTACACCCTTTTGTACCACTGGCAAACATAAGGATCTTGTCCCTTGGCATTCATGGCTTTTTCACAACGATGGAAATCTATAGAGAAAGGAAAAACAGCTTAAAGAAAGGAAGGAAAGTAGACTACCACTGATTCTACTTGAGACATTGCTGACAACACATGATTTTAAATTATGGTGACCTATATTTTGATATGTATTTTAATCTGTGTAATTTTGTCTTCTGTGATATGTTTTATATTATGATATTTTTGATCTGCGTTTGTTTGGAAATTGACTATTATGTTTTGTACTGGCATTGAATGTTTGCCATTTTTTACTTTGGAAGCTGCCCTGAGACACCTTGGGGAGAGAGGGCAGGTTAAAAATAAAGTATTATTATTATTATTATTATTATTATTATTATTATTCAAATAAACATATTTTATGTCTTTCAGTCTAAGTAACCTGATGATTCACATGGTAATGATGAAATCAATTGTGCTACTATATTAGTTCTATACATTTGCTATTATTAACTCATATACACTTGCCATTTATGAAGGAATTAGTCATTAGAAAAGTAAGAGGAAATTACGTCTGATTCAATGGTTTGACATACTGATTCCACAGTCCTGAATTTAGTCATGAAAAACTCCTGTATTTTATGGGGTCATAACACTTGCTGTTTGTCCTTGAAATAACCAATGTTGCTACTGGCCTGGTAGCTATGCTGTATTTTTCTACTGTACTCACTTCACTATTTGATTTTAGATTCCCAGCTAGAAGTTTCCCTTGCACAAGCCAATGCGAACTTTGTATGCAATATTCAAAAAATAATTATTTCATAATCTAGACTTGTTACCAGAAATGTGTCAAAAATCTTGGTTTCTAACAACTCAAAAATTAGAACAGCTGACATTCTCATAAGAATGCAAATATTCATACACATGAATTATACGAACCCAGATAGTTTTGCCAGCAGTTCCGTGTTTGGTTCTGATTGGGGAACCTGCTATCAAAGGGAGCTGTCTTGTAGTTCTCCAGCTTGGTCCTGATATCTTCAGCCATATCTTCTCTGAAAGCAAAATTGACATAAGCAAAACTAAAATTGCTGAGTTTTACAAACTCTGTCCAAGAGAATGATCCAAGATTCATGAGTATAGGGCAGATCAGGAATCTGTTAATAATTTTTAATAAATGCATACATAAAAGTACTTCTTGTGAATGGATCATGTTCCCCAGTAGTATTTTTATCCTCAAGCAGCATTCCAGCAACTTATGGCAGTATTCATATTAAATGAAGCAAGACATTGCTTACAAGCCATTAGATATCTGATACATACATACATACATACATACATACAATTAATCTCATGATATGAGCCCAGGTTATATGTTTTGAACTGGATTGTATGAGCACCCTTCCACACTGCCTTTTATCCCAGGATCTTATCCCAGATTATCTGCTTGAAATTGGAATATATGAGTCCCCACTGCTAGATAACCTGGGATAAACAGATAATCTGGGATCAGATCCTGGGATAAAGGGGCAGTGTGGAAGAACTCTGAGTCTACACTGCCAGATAATCTGGGATAAGATCCTGGGATATAGGGCAGTGTAGATCCAGTCTGAGAAGAGTACTCAAACAGCTCATATGCACTGTACTGTACAACATAGATATTATATAGACCAGTACTCTCCAAAATGGTGTTCTCTCAAATAGTGCCACTCTGTGAGCTTTGGGATACCAGTGTGAAATAAGTTTCCAACAAAGGGGTAAAAAACAGCTGCAGTTAAACTGTGAGACCAGTCCGACACTTTAGAAAAATAAAGTGCTGGTCCCCACATCAGATTACACTTACACAGACCATGTGATATCAAACACAAGACAAACAATGCAATACATAGGATAATACGCAGTCTCCCCTCCACATTAGCTGGAGTTTGAGGGTGCAGGATATTCTTTTCATCACTTGGTAACAATGGCAGCATTCAAACTACTGACTTCATACTGAAGTAGTTAACATTATACATTGGTCCCTTTATGAACACCTTTTATCAAAATAATCAAAGTCCTTATAGACGATATAAGAAAATGGAAACAGCTTCAGTGTTGTGCTTTTTAAGTGAATGTGAGGCCAACACCTCTTCAGGGCTTCGGATGGATTCTTAAAGGTGTGCCTTTGCTGGTGTAATTTGCACACTTATTAGGATGATCTGCCACCTTTTTTCTGCAGATCTTAAAGAAGGAAATGGCTGCCAGACAGAATGAAAGGCCATGTTTCTTTCCACAGTGTGCAAATATAAATGAGGGAGAGGTTCCCTGTCAAATACAGAGAATTTAAACTTTTGCATGTTTTTCACAAACCCAGACTAGGTACTGTGTTTTAAAGTATTTTAAAGTTTTATTATATGTATATGTTTTTTTTAAAGTTGTATTGTTTATATTTTGTAGTGTTGTATATTTGATCCCCTGGTGGCACAGTGGATTAAACCACTGAACTTGCTGACCGAAAGGGAGCAGGGTGAGCTCCTGCTGTTAGGCCCAGCTTCTGCCAACCTACCAGTTCAAAAACATGTAAATTTGAGTAGATCAAACTTCCTGACCCTACATCCTGTTCAGCAGTAGATCTCTCTGCCTCGGAGTGTGGTGGAAGCGCAGAAACAGAGGCTGCATGGCAGGGGGTTGGATTGGATTGCCTATGTGATCTCTTCCAACTCTATGATTGGATGATTACTTTATTTATTTATTTATTTATTTATTTATTTATTATTTCGGTCATTTCTACCCAGCCCTTCTCACCCCCTAGTGGGGACTCAGGGGTGAACTACTATAACTACTACTACTCCACTAGGGCAGGCATGGGCAAACTTGGGCCCTCCAGGTGTTTTGGACTCCAACTCCCACAATTCCTGAGGGGGAAAAGGAAGGGGCCTGAAGCTGTTAGGAATTGTGGGAAGGCCCACGTCTGCCCTAGTGGAGTAGTAGTAGTTATAGTAGTAGTAATCTTATATAAATAAAAATGTAATGTTTGTTTGTGGGATTAACAGAACTCAAAAACTACTGGACGAATTGACACCAAATTTGAACACAAAACACCTAACAACCCAATGTATGCCCTTCACTCAAAAAAATTGATTTTGTCGTTTGGGAGTTATAGTTGCTGGGATTTATAGTTCAACTACAATCAAGAGCATTCTGAACCTCACCAACGATGGAATTGAACCAATCTTGGCACACAGAACTCCCATGACCAACAGAAAATACTGGAAGGGTTTAGTGGGCAGTGTCCTTTGGTTTTGGAGTTGTAGTTCACCTTTTTCCAGAGAGCACTGTCGACTCAAACAATGATGGATCTGGACCAAACTCTACACGGATACTCAATATGCCCAAATGTGAACACTGGTGGAGTTTGGGGAAAATATAACCTTGACATTTGGGAGTTGTAGTTGCTGGGATTTGTAGTTCACCTACAATCACGGAGCATTCTGAACCCCACCAATGATAGAATTGGGCCAAGTCTCCTACACAGAACCCCCATGTGGGCCATAGCAAAGCGTGGCAGGGGACGGCTAGTAATAATAATTGTAAATTATTTCCTATTTCAGCTTTATAGCAATTTCTAGTACGCCTAGGTATAGCTGAACGCAAAATATTCAAGGCTTGCTTGGAGCACAAAGGCCCGCCGGGTAAGGAAGGCCCCAGAGTCGCAAGAGGAAGGCAGAACTGCGGGAGATGAGCCGGAAAAGCGCTTCGGGGCCTAGGCCGTCTCCCCCCCTCTCTCTCTCCCTCCTTCCCTGCTTCTTCCCCGCCTCGTTACCTGACTGCAACGGTCACCACAGCCCGGCAACTTCCCCCTCAAAGTGACTTTCAGCAGAGACCTGACGCACACAGCAAATACCCCGGAACCAAAAAAAGAGCGCTAGAACGTCGCCGGAAATGGCCGGCACGGAGGACCGGAAATGGCTTTAATCTCAAGAGCGGCCCGACGCCAAAGGAAACCAAAATGGCGAAACAAGCGAGAGGGTTGGAGCTACGCCGGAAAGGGCGGGCACAACAGAGAAATGAGCCCTGTCGCTTTAAGGCAGGCATGGGCAAACTTTGGCCCTCCAGGTGTTTTGGACTCCAACTCCCACAATTCCTAACAGCCTCAGGCCCCTTCCTTTTCCCCCTCAGCCGCTTAAGCGGCCTGAGGCTGTTAGGAAAGGAAAGGGCCTGAGGCTGTTAGGAAAGGAAAGGGCCTGAGGCTGTTAGGAATTGTGGGAGTTGGAGTCCAAAACACCTGGAGGGCCAAAGTTTGCCCATGCCTGCTTTAAGGATTTTCTGGACTCCAACTCCCAGAAGTCCCAGCTGCAGGAGGCAATGATTAAGGCAGGCATGGGCAAACTTCACCCCTCCAGGTGTTTTGGACTTCAACTCCCACAATTCCTAACTGCCTATTGGATATTACTGTGATTCTCAACCTGTGGGTCCCCAGGTGTTTTGGCCTACAACTCTTAGAAATCCCTAACCCTAACCCAAACTTCACCCCTCCAGGTGTTTTGGACTTCAACTCCCACAATTCCTAGCTGTCTACTGAATATTACTGTGATTGTCAACCTGTGGCTCCCCGAGTGTTTTGGCCTACAACTCTTAGAAATCCCAGCCGGTAATAGTATGATAGCTGGGTCCGGAAGTGCCAAGCGTTACGGAGAGGCCGCATCGCTCCTTCAGAAGCGCTGTTTGCACAAGAGAGATTTATTGTAATGTAAGCCAGGCTGGAGACAGATTTATTTTGTATTAAAAGCATTACATAAATTAGTGTAAAATCGATAAAAATAGAAGGAGCGCAGGTCACTAAATATCTTTTGAGCAAAAACGGGCAACAGCAACGGCATTGTCTGTAGCCTCCAACAATTCTTCCTCTGTACATGAGGCAGGGCATAGTGGACAAGCATACAGATGCGGAGTTCTCTGTTCTGCTCCACAGTCACATAAGGTGTGGGATTCTTTTAGGTAGTGCCATTTTGCCAGGTTGTCTTTTGATCTGCCCACTCCACTTCTGAGCCTGTTCAGGGACTTCCAAGTTGCCCATTCTTGGTTTGCCCCTGGAGGAAGTCCCTTGTGGGGGGCCATCCAGTTGGGATTTCCTGATCTAGCTGCCCAGAGGGATACCCTTGCTGTTGCTGGGGGGACGCCAAGAGGAATGGTAGTTCTCCTAAAACTTTTCCTTGATTTGAGTCTACTGGGAGAGGCTGGTAGCCATGTAGTGGATGGCTTTCAGTGTTCAACCTTATTTCTCTCACATTTAGCAGCAACTTCCCGTCGCACATCGGGGGGGGGGGGGGGGCAATGCCAGCTTGCTTGTAGAGTTTATCAACAAGTGTAGGTTTAAGACATCCTGTGATTATTCTCATTCAATGCTATGTTCACCTGCTTTGCATGGGCAGACTTATGCCAGACAGGGCTAGTATACTCAGCAATTGAGTAAGACAAGGTTAGGGCTGATGTCAGAGACAGATAATATAGAAGAAATGTAAGAGTTCTTTAATGGTGAAACCCTTACCCTGGCCCATAACCTAACCCTGAACCGTACTGTAAGCCTAAGCCCTTACCCTTACCCAAACCCTAAACCATACCCTAACTGTAACCCCTAACCCTAACTGTAATCCTAACTCAAACCCTGAACCTTGCCCTAACCCATATCCTAAGCATCCCCTCCTTTCTATCCTTCCTTCACTCTCCTCGCTCTCATTCCGCCCTCTCTCTTCCCTTATTCGCAGCCACCTTTGCGGCATCTCCATAATGCTCAGAGCTTCCAGACCCACCTATCATACTATCACCTCCCAGCCAGTTCTGGGAGTTGAAGGCCAAAACATCTGGGGACCCACAGGTTGAGAACCACTGGACAATTAGGAATTGTGGGAGTTGACGTCCAAAACACCTGGAGAGCTGAAGTTTGCACATGCCTGGATTAAGAGTCGTGGGAGCTGAAGTTCACAACCCCTGGAAGACCAGTCAGTATTGGGGTCACCTGGGAGAGGAGTTTCCTGTAGGCCTGAACAGAAATTCATTTCCCCATTGATGTCTTTGTGGCAATTGGGCTAGACGAGGCCTGAACAAATTTCAACCCTCCAGATGTTTTGGACTCCCAACTCCCATAATTTCTAACATGCAAAATCCTCTAAACAATTTTACTTTTTGGATATTTAACGCAAAACTCATTAGTTTCACATGCCCTTCCACCTTTAAGGTATTTGTATTCCGCCTTTTTGTCAGCTCTGGGACTCAAGACAGCTTACCATTGTTTTAAAGAAAGTAGACGAAATTTGACATTATTGAGACACACCATTTATTTATTTATTTATTATTTACAGTATTTATATTCCACCCTTCTCACCTCAAAGGGGACTCTGAGCAGATCACAATGCACACATACACAGCAAACATTCAATACCATTTTTAGACATACAGTTTTCCCTCACTTATCATGGGGGTTGTATTCCAGCAAGCCTTGCGATAAGTGAAAAACTGCGAAGTAGAGAATTATGGGAGTTAAAGTCCAAAACCCCCAGAGATGGCACCAGCATGGTGGGGCGGTGGGCCTCACAGACCAGGCAAGAGCGGGGTCCGGTGCAGGCCCCGCCACCTCCCCCTCCACTGGGTCTGGTGCAGGTTCAGCTGCCTCCGATAGGAAAGGGGGAAAGGCAAGGCTTCCCCTTTCCCTCTTTCCTATCAGAGGCGGCGTCGGTGTGGTGGTGCCTGCACCAGACCCCGCTCTTGCCTCAAATTCTTTTTTTCTCTTTTTTAAAAAAATCTTAAAATATCCAACTTGCATGAAGCATTTGAAAGTGTAACACAACTTACAAATTAAGCTAAAAATATTTCTGCATACAGATCTTGCACCCTTTTCTTGCTTATAAGCTCAATGAGGAAAGGTAGTTTAACAACAACAAGGCAAGGCTGCCGTCGAGTCAGAACTGTGCTACCTTGGGAAAGTTCAGTGGCTGGGGTTGTCTTGTATTATATACATATGTATATAAATTTCCTTTCTCATAAACATTTAGCTCTAGAACCCAGGATAAGACAGAGCTATTGCCTTTGCACAAGACCCATTAGCATTTATTTATTTCTGCAAATGTTTTCTGGTTGTTTGTGCTATCTGGTTCTTATTTGGATAGAGTAGAATAATATAACACTTTGGAAAAAATATGCAGCCAAGTAGCCCAGCGCTAGAGGTCAAAATAGAAAAGATTTCTACAGCCACCATATATTTCCCCTTGGTGCTGAGGTAGGCTGGGATGAAGGATATCCAAACAGTGCAGAAAACCAGCATGCTGAAAGTGATGAACTTGGCTTCATTGAACACATCAGGCAGCTTCCTGGCAAGGAAAGCCACAATGAAGCTCACCAAAGCCAAGACAGCCATGTAGCCCAGAATGGAATAGAAGGCAATGGGTGAGCCCTCATTGCACTCCAGAATGATGTGTCCAGGCTCCGAGTAGAAATCTGCATCTGGAAATGGAGGGGAGGTTCCCAACCAGACCATGGAAATCACAGCCTGAATGAGAGAACATACCATCACAAAGAAGTATGAAACTCCAGGTCTCAGCCATTTTCGTGCACCGCTGCCTGGCTTTGTGGCCTTAAAGGCCAGAACCACCGTGATGGTTTTGGCCAAGACTGTAGCAAGAGAGACAGAGAAAATGATCCCAAAGGCTACCTGGCGAAGAAGGCAGGTCGTTTTACTTGGTTGTCCAATGAAGAGCAAAGAGCAGACAAAGCAAAGTATGAGGGAAGAGAGGAGGATATAGCTGAGCTGCCGGTTGTTGGCTTTGACTATGGGAGTCTCTCTGCATCTGATAAAGTTTCCTAATATCAGCACAGATAAGAATGAAAAAAATAACACAGTGAAAGTTAAAGCAATTCCTAAAGGTTCCACATAGGAAAGGAAGGTGATGTTTTTCGGGATGCACTTATTTCTTCTGTTGTTTGGATGGTGGTCCTTTTTGCAATCCACACAATAATCCATATCTAGAAAACACAAATGAGAGGACACTTTTATCTATTTGCCTTTGTGCATTTCTCTTGGCTGAAATATTGGCACTATATCTAAGGGCTATCCTACCTGTCTTACTGGATATTTTCCCTCTGGGACATTCAATGCACTGGAAACAACATTTGGATTTGCCCTTCAAAGGTATCTTCCAGAACCCAGGTGAACATTTATGGCTGCACACAGAATATGGTGGCTATGCAGATTCAGTGAGAAAAAATTAAAATGAATATAAAGCAACCATTTTTGTACAGCATTTTAAATTGAAGTGGCTTCCATAACAACCGATCCATTTACAAAGGTTTCTGAGTACTTTGGTAAGACAAACATCTAATGAAGATGTAAGAGCAAAGGAATATTGGAATTCCTTCCTCATGGTCACTTCCTGAGCATCACTGTTCTGTGCTTTCCAGATGCCAGGTTAAAATGGTTCATTTTATGAGGAATTCAAGTTGAGCCACTTCATGGGTAACTATTTTGTTTTGTTCTTTTTAATGGCACTGATATTTGGGATTGATGCATTATTATATTTTAAGGACAGTTAAATAATTTGATCATTCTATTCCACCCAAATCCCGCTTTTGTTGGAGAGAGACATGATTTGAATTTTAAAATAAGCCAAAAATACCATCTAATCATGAAGTTATACAACATGACTTACCTGGAGGAATTTTTTGTTCCATAAGGCCATCTCTTCATAAATAACAATGTTGTGATTTTTTGCAGAGCCAAGGTTCACTTCCCCAACTTTCACGCAGGAGTTGTTGGGGAACAGGAGCCAATTTAAAACATCGTAAGTTACTATGTGTCCAATCCCATCAAAAATGGCATCTTCCACAGTAGTTTTGTTGTAAAGTATATTTTTAAGGAACCAGTGCATCTGAATATAATAATATAGATGTGCATAGTGTATTATGAAGTGTCCAAATCCCATTCCTTCAAAAATGCCTTCAATGGCTGAAGGCTTCAAAAAAAATTAGTTTTTTTTTTAAAAAAAAAACTCATATTTTTTGCAAGAACTATTCCAATCTGCAAATATAGTTTTTCAGGGGTAGTGTGACCCCATCCAAAACTGGTTGGTACACCTCCATCCCTAGATTAGGAGGAATCATGATCTTGTCACATGGCTGGTGGTGGCGTGGAATCATTGTCTCATTTCGCATTGCCGACCAGCAAGACAATCACATGGAGGGAAGCAAGGAGGACACAGCTTCCCCCCATGGAACGGGCAACATGGGATGCTTCCCATATTGCTAGATCAGTGGCAGATCTATGCAATGAAGCTGTCTCTGTCTTGTCTGGATTCAGTTTCAATTTGTTTTCCTACATCCACACATTACCTCCTCCAGGCATTCATTCAGAAAGACTTTCAATCCCTAGCTGAGTCTTTTTTTGAAGGCATGGAGAAATATATTTTGGTGTCAACAGCGTATTGATTGCACCCTGCCTCATGCCTCTTAATAATCTCTCCCAGTGGTTTCATGTAAAAGCTAATAGGGACCTAAGATACCCTCACCCCCCACCCCAAAAAAAACCCAACAGGGACAAACTCCCCCTGTCCGTGTTGAGATGGAGATCATCCACTAAGGTGACCATAGCTGTCTCAGTTCACCTTGTCTTTATTCAGCCCATTACCTCCTCCAGGCATCCATTCAGTGGAAACGCACTATCCTTAGCCGAGTCTGATTTTGAAGGCATGGAAAAATATCTTTGGGTGTCATCAGCATACTGATAGTACCTTGTCCCATGCCTCTGGATTATCTCTCCCAGTGGTTTCATATAAATGCTAATAGGGACCTAAAATGTGTCCGTTACCCAGGTTTGCCAGAAGGATGCCATGGTCGATGATTTTGAAAGCCACTGAGAGATCTGGAAGCACCAACAGGGACATACCCCTTGTCATTGTTGAGATGGAGATCATCTACTAAGGAAACCATAGCAGTCTCAACTCCGTATCCTGCTCTGAAGCCAGTATGCAATGGATCAAGAAAGCATGGAGTTGGAGTTGGAAAGCAACTACCTTCTCAATCACCTTTCCCAGAAAAAAATGTTAGACACTGATCTAGTTATCAAGGTCCAAGCGATCCAGGGAGGGCTTTTTCAGCAGTGGTCTGACTACTTCTTTTAAACAGGGTGGAAAATTCTCGTCCCGCAGAGACGGATTGATAATTTGTTGTTTTTTGAAATCGAACTGTGCAAGTATCTTTTCCTTGAATGACTAGCCAGGGGGCCCCATCCCATGAGGGGAAGCATCCCCAACCGGCTTCCACCCGTTGATCCAAAGACAACATGAGAAGCCACTTGCTCTCCTCTTTCGGCACAGAGAGTGACTGGAAGTACACGTGTATCATGTTATGAACGCCATGTCAAAAGTGAAGAGCAAGCAGCATAGGGCAGTCAAATAAGTCCTATTAAACACCTTCAGATTTCAATGGGATTTGAAAATACAAGGCCATTTACTTGACATGGCAGTTACAGTGCTGTCAAGGGAGAGAAAGGGTCCAGTCTTTGCAGCCCACAAAGAGCATCACATCCCCACATTTGCCTCTCTCCAGTTGCAGAGCAGGGGTTTGATTCATGTAATGGTCAAGAAAGCTAGATGGAAGCAGGTTCAGAAGCTAAAAGATGATTCTAAAGCATTTTTATAAACTACAACTTTCAGACAACATGAAACTTGGTTTTAGATAAGTTTAAAATGATGTTGTAGAAATTCTGCTTTTATTCCTGTTTTGGGAGCCTCCAAGGTGGCTCAAACAATTATGTGATAATCAAGGTTAAAGGTCTCACCTGCCACAGTCGGATGTTTCCAAGTTTCAGACCATATCTCTCCTTTTTTTGTTTTGATCTGTCCAAATAAAGATTGTGCAGTGCCTTGCCCACTGTAAAAACTGCTTTGTAAATACTGTAACTCAGGGGGCTCATGCTCATCTCAAATTGGGATACAGAGAGACTATCCAACTTCTCCTGACCACTGCATGGCCTAACTCCTAGCTGTAGAGGCCGTGAATAGGGAGGAGGCAAATTGCAGTTGAATACTTGGCTCCAGAAACTCTTAATGAAAATATCATCAGGATATTTGTTCAGAGTCAGAGACTGGAGAAAAAGCCGGAATCCTGAAATCTCCCTCTGATGGGATGTAAAGGATAAAGCACCAGACAATTGTCCTCCTCTTAAATACAGATTAGTATCCCACATTGCTGTGGTCAGCCACACTTTCCCTGCCAATATCCCCTTTGTGTGCAAGTATATCATTGAGAGGAACTTGATATCACCATAGGCAAACACCACTTTGCATGATGACCTCATCAGCTCTTGTTTTTTCTGATGCAGTTCATTCAAAAATGCTAAAACATGGTGGACGGAAAATAGAAATTCAGGACAGATCCCATTCTCTTCCATTTCCCTTTTTAGTTTATGGAGGAAGTTCTCCCTTCTGTCATATGATGCAACAATAAGACCAATCCAAGTCCAATCAAAATAAAGAAGTAACTGGATTATGCCCACAAGATGAAGTTCATCGCTTGAGTATATTTGATACAAGGAGGGAAATTCAATTTGATTATTGAAGATGGGGTCATAAGAGCCATAACTGATCTGTGTGGATACATACAAAATTATCAGATGCTTACCCGATAAGTTGATACAGCAAAGATTCAGCAAGATATCTATTGCTGTGATTAGAACATAGACTGGGAATGCATCTATACTGTAGAATGCATGCAGTTAGACATTACTTTTACTGTCAATAATATGGGACCATGGAAGTTTTAGTTTTACAAGGTCTCTAGCTTTCTCTAACAAATACTGCTGAGCCTCACCAAACTATAATTCCCGTGATTCTATATCAATGATCCATAGCAGTGGCTCCAAAAAACCCATAAATTTTAATGTCCCAAGTCCCTGAGACTTGGAAAATCCAAGTTGTAGTTCCCACTGAACTATGAAAGTCATTGGAAGAATTACTATGCTTCAATCTGTCATGCCTCACGGTATGGTTCTGAAGATAATGATTAATCAAAAAGAGATATAGATATTGTAGCAGAGAAAAGATGGGCCATAAATGTAATAAAGAAATTCAACAGAGCTGAAGTTTGGGGCCTAAACTAGATACTATTATTAGAGCAATCACAATCACAACACCTGTGAAGTTTTCTGGGAGTGGACAAAAGGACCCCAGTTGCGGCAGTAAGAACAGAACTGGGAGTATATACAGTTGATGCCTTATCCTCATAACCATTGACTGTGGAGTGCCTCAGGGATCAGTACTGTCCCCTATGTTGTTTAACATTTACATGAAGCTGCTGGGAGAGATTATCTGGAGTTTTGGGGTCAGGTGTCATCTGTACGCAGATGATGTTCAACTCTTATGACTCCTTCCCACCTGTCATTAAGAAGGCTGTTCAGGTCCTGAACCAGTGCTTGGCAGCAGTGATGATACGGATGAGAGCAAACAAATTGAAACTGAATCCAGACAAGACAGAGGTCCTCCTGGTCAGTCACAAGACCGAACAGGGCATATGGTTACAGCCTGTGCTGGACGGGGTTACACTCCCCTTGAAGACACAGGTTCTCAGCTTGGGAGTGATCCTGGACTCATCGCTGAGCCTGGAACCCCAGGTCTCAGCGACGGCTACGGGAGCTTTTGCACAATCAAAACTTGTGCGCCAGTTGCGCCCATACCTTGGGAAGTCAGACTTGGCCATGGTGGTCCACACTCTTGTTACATCCCGAATAGATTACTGCAACACACTCTATGTGGGGCTGCCTTTGAAGACTGCTCAGAAGCTCCAACTAGTCTAATGGTCAGCAGCCAGGTTACTTACCGGAGCGGCATATAGAGAGCATACAACCCCTCTATTAAGCCAGCTCCACTGGCTGCCATTCTGCTATCGAGCACAATTCAAAGGGCTGGTCTTAACCTTTAAAGCCCTGAGTGGTTCCAGCCCAGATTACTTGTCTGAGCATATCTCCTGTTACGAACCATCACAAAGTTTAAGATCAGCTGGAGAGTGCCCTGCTCTCAATCCCAGCACCATCGCAAATGTGACTGGTGGGGACGAGAAACAGGCCCTTCTCAGTGGTGGCTCCTTGCCTGTGGAACTCTCTCCCCAGTGACATCAGATTGGCCACCTCCCTCCTTTAGAAAGAAACTCAAAATGTGGTTATGGGACCAAGCATTTGAACAGTAGCAGCAGCAATCGGGAATAAGACTAAATGTGATATGTATGACAGTGGTCTGTCCCAGGCACTGATTTTAAACCGGTGTGATTTAATCAAATGTTTCTTAACATTTTAATTGAACTGTTTTTAAATATGTTTTATGATTGTGGTTAGCACTCGAATGAGGGCTTGTTGTGAAGCCACCCTGAGCCACCTCCGCTTCGGAGGGGGGTGGGTGGGTTCGAGAAGGACAGGTACAAATGTATGAAATAAATAAATCCTAGATTAGGGCATACAACTACTGGGTAAAATTGAAGGCCATGGCAAATGAAAAACTAGCAAAACTGTGCCTGTTAGAGCAGACAAACAAAAATCAGCATCAGACCTCTTGGCTAGTTCAACTGACAAAACACATTAGGAGTTGTGGACTTCTGATTCTGTATCCAAATCTCCTTAAAGAATGAGATCCAAAAATGGTTGCATAAAGAATCCTGGATATAGAAACTCAAAAAGTTATTGTTACCCTCGGTAAAGCTGGCTCATTGAAATGGCTAAGTCATTTTAAACATACTTTTCAAACAGCCCAATATTTGAAGACAGAAATGCCTAAATGCCTTAGGAGGGTATTTACCAGAACTAGATTTGAACAGCTGGATACAATGGTCAAACATGGAAAGTTTAACCAAGTTTCATATATGAACAATTTTGTATCTGTGGAGTGAGAGAGGTAGAAGATATCGAACATGTATTGTTGTAACTTGTACAAGAAAGAGAGAAACCAAATACCTTGGGCCATACATTATACAAAAGACACTAGTGGAATCCTTATATTAAAACTACATTTTTACTGGTCCGCAGCCTACAGGTTAAGAATCACTGCTGAAATGGAAGGCCTGGGGGAGAGCCTTTCCAAATGTAAGCTCTCCCAATGTTTCCAATGTCCAGATTGTAAGCCACAGAGGAATTTGTTCATCGAATTCAAATGTGTTGCCCCAGAAAGGAAAAGGCATTTCACTCATCAACTAAGGATTGTGTTTTTGTACTGTGCATATTGAGCATTGGCCCTGAAATATTGCTGGATAGCTGTATTCTGCATGCAGAAACTCGACTTCAACATCTCCTCATTGTCAGATGTTGCTGAAAGGGAATATTGAAATGTCCTTAGACTTACCTGTGGTATCTTGTACATCCCCAGCATGTTGGCCACCTGAGCAGATAGCTCTGATGTTTGGGCCCCAATGACAGCCACCATTTTCTTTTGGCTTTGGCAATTGTAATTGGGAAATAATCTGACTTTTCTTGTGTTCTTCATGTTGTATGATGACTGACCATAACCATAGTAGGGCCAGCTTCCATAGAGAGGTATGTAAACTGGAGCGAGCTTGTCCCTCTCAGACAGTAGACTGATGACATTCTCATAGGTTTGACTTCCACTGTAATAGTTGTCATACAAGCGAAATCCCAGGGAGATGTTGGGTAAGAAATGGGGATCCTTGTTGATTTCCTCCACAGCAAATACAAATGCCAGGACGTACTGGTAGTTCTTTGATTCTGGGCTGTGGAGACAGAGAAGAAGAAAAAGAAAAGCATTTCACATGCAACAGACACAGGCTAATATTCTTTTGGTTAGTTCCACCTTCAGAATCCCTATTCAATTATTTTAGGTCAATGAATAGGTAAATTCCACCGAGTCTCCGCTAGACAGAATTAACAATAGGATTTATGCAATAGAAGGCTGGTCTACTACCATAGAAACCCTGTTAGCAAGAACTTCTGACTGAAAGACTTTGATTAGATCTGTAAACATAGAAATGTAGAGAAACACGGCTGAATGGCACTAAAGGGTTTGGAATCTATAATGTAAGCAAAAGGTTAATGTTAGAAAGAACTTTCAAGGCTCGAAGTAATTGCTAGGCACTCAGTCTCTGTAACCATTGGTGGAATTTAATTTTGGCCACCAATGGCTTAGGTTCTTTTCTTTCTAAAACTCTTTCAACAAAATTATTATTTTATATTCATATTAGTTAAAATGAATTGCTTTAAGCACTCCAAATTGTTGGAAAAATTAATCTTTTATATACTTTTTCTCTTGGTTTGAACAACCTGTTGCCAACACTCCAAATTGTTAGCACTCTGTCTATTGCTACCCTCCATTTTCTGTGTATCGGCTGAAAGATGAACCTTGCCTCCACAACCGATTAGCACAAAAGGTGTGGACTGAGTGTCATAGGACCAGGTACTTTTCTAGAAGGTGAGCATCACAAACTGGAATACATACCATACAATCAGGAGCTACAACATCCAGTCTGGCTAATAGGTCAGACAGAGTGATGTTTATACATGAGTCAACGTGCCTAAAGTTGGCTTCTTGAGACTAGCTGGATCTACACTGCCATATCATGCAGTTTTAAATGATAGTGTAGATCCATCCTCTGCTTCAGACTTCTCTTTGTACTGTCAAAAGATTTATTATCTCAACCAGCTATTAAGAAACAGAATTCTTACACTGTTGGAATGTTGTAAGGAGAAACTTCCTCAGGACGTCCTTTATAATTTTGCCATGGAATAGTTTGATGAGATAAAGATAACACACCACCAAGAATGAGATCCCCATCTTTGTAGTAGCCCTCTGCGTAGGATCTGTCCAGATCACACTGTGTCTTTGTCTTCTTGCCTACTATGTGGGGTAAAAGTAATATGATAAAGATCAGGAAAATCATGACAGAAGCAGGTGATGATTCTTCAGATTTCATCTCCTAGACAAACAGATTCTTATTTTCAGAGTGCTGCTGCACTAGATGTTAAAAAAGAGTAATAACAACATGAGGCATATCTAGGTAATTCTCTGCAACAGCGCACCAAGTGGAACTCAGTTCTGAACAACATGGTATTTATTGCCTATGATCTCAGTCCTATCTGAGGCAATCTTTTTTCTCTCTCACATATTTGTAAAGTCTGTTCAGTGTTACTTCTAATACAGAAACAAATCACAATAACAATCATTTCACTGTTCCCCAGGCAGATGCTGATTCCAAACAAGTCATTTTGTGTTTTGCAGTTTCCTGGTGTTATTCACCTACAATGGAATATTTCAATGTTTCAAGAGAACAACATTTTTCAGAATTTCTCACTTGTGCAAGTTTTTGTTTTGTTGCAAAACCTAAGAAACTTTAATTAACAACCAAATTCTGAATAAACGCAATGCCAAAAAGTTCTTACATTTTGAATTGCTTGATGTTTTAATGATTTTTTAATGTTGCTGACTGGGGCATTGAAACTCTGAAAATAGACGAATTCAGGGGGTATGCACCTTCAAACTTGTGAACTCTTGAAGGGGACAGCACAAATTGGGAGGACAAATTTTGTTATCTGAAACTGTTGAGGTCCAGGAATGATGTCTAGATACTCCGCTGAGTTTGTGTGTGTGTGTGTGTGTGTGTGTCAGAGGCTACTTGAGCGACTGCAAGTCATTTCTGGCATGAGATAATTGGCTGTCTGCAGGTGATAGCTGGATGTGTTACCATCCTGTGGGAGGCTTCTCTCATGTCCCTGCTCACCCCACTCCGCAGATTCGCACTGCCTACCTTTCGGTCAGCAGTCCTGCTGGCACAAGGGTATGAGTATTGTAAGCCATAAAACAAACCTTAGCTGAACAATATCAACAAACCCTCCTTGCCCTCCCACCACTAGATGAATTCACAGATGAATGCAGCCAGCACCCATGGCAAAGGATATGTGAAGGAGCCCCCTGATCCCATGCTGAATACAATAGATGTTTTTCCAAGTTCATCATTTGGAATAACCTTTACAGATATATAAACCCAATTTTCCAAGTTTCCAACAGACCTCACAACCTCAGAGGATGCCTGCTGTAGATGCAGGTGAAACTTCAGGAGAGAATGCTTGTAGAACATGGCCATACAGCCCGAAATACTTACAACCCAGTGATTCCGGCCATGAAAGCCTTTGACAATATTTCTATTATTTAAGGAAACTTTCCCCTCTGTCAGATGATACCAATCAACGTACATCGTTTCCCCAAAGGAATCTCATTTCAGGCTAATGAGCTCCTGAAGAAAAAAGGGACGGTGCAGAAACAGAGAACCAATTTCAAAATTCCTTCAATAAAAACTTTTATTAAGTTTCCTGCAGTATTGTACCCAAATCATAAACTATTAGTCTTGTATCATTTCAGCTACTGCAAGAACCGCAGTTTCAGAGACCTGGTGTACCAAGCTCCAAACACCCAATGAAACATGAACAAGTTGAAGGCAAAGTAACAGAGGCTTTATTCACCTTGGCCAAAGTGGATGCCAGAATAATCTGCACCCTTAAAATTGACATACCCTGATAAAACATACAAAAATATTTATAGGACTCTGAAGATGGAAATCATAGGTGCAGGTTAAATGTCAGTAGAAAATGCTGATAGAATACAGCCATACAGCCCGGAAACCACACAACATCACCTTGATAGGACTTCAACAGCAGTTTGTAACAGAGGATTTTTGCTGCCTTGAATGCTGATTGGTTCAGCCTGAGGCCAGCTAGGATCCACACATTGGTTGGATGCAGGACGCCTTCCATTGTTGTTGCTAATTGGCTTGTGAATCTGGCGGGAACTTTAATAAACTGTCATTGCTCAGTTTGAAGTTTTTTAGCTATTTCTAGATCCACCTCTCATGGATGTGGGAAAAGAAACAATGTTGGTAGGGTTTGGGTTAATGGGTGCAAATGGCCACGATTCCATAAATTGAATTAAAAACAATTTTAAAACTTATCTGTCTAAATGTATCTCCTCCTATGAACCACCTCAGAGATCAAGATCATCTGGGGAGGCCCTGCTTTCAGTCCCACCTCCTTCACAGGTGCTTCTGGTGGGAACGAGAGACAGGGCCTTCTCAGTGGTGGCCCCTCAGTTGTGGAATTTCCTCCCCAGGGATATTAGAGCAGCTCCCTCTCTCCTGGCCTTCAGAAGGAAAGTGAAAATCTGGCTGTGGGGTCAAGCCTTTGGAGTTCAAGTATAGTGCAATAATAGCTAAGGAATTATTTACAATGGAATAGCCCCAGATTACGATTTTGGATGGCGTGATTTTTAATAGTGATTGTAATGTGTTATATGTTTTTAATGTGCATTTAATTTTAATTTTAAATCTTTAACTTAATGTATTTTAACTGTTTGTTGTTCAAAGGCATTTAATAGTTGCCATATGTAAAGTCACCTTGAGTCCCCTTCGGGGTAGAGAAAGGCGGGATACAAATAGAGTTAATTAATTAATTAATTAAAACATACACACTACAAAAACTAACAACAACAATTTTATTTGATACCCACCTCTTCTTATAGCTTTAGGTGGGCTACAACAAAGGTAAAGCAGATAGCCATAAAATGCATACAATAATTGCATATAAAAAAAACCCTATATTAAAATACACAGAACAAAGATTAAAATTTCAAGAGATTGTCAATTCAAAACTCATGGGTTTAAATTGATTGGGTAGGCCTGCCACAAGAAATGCATCTTGAGTGATGTTTTAAATTCTGACAGCTCATTTAGATGTCACAGCTTTTCCAGAAGGTCATTCCACAATCTTGGGGCGATAAAAAGGTCCCCTGAGTGATCGTTGCCAGTCAGGTTTGGACCAGTTGGGGTCAGAGTCACCCAAAGGACCAAGGTGTCTTAAGGGGCAGATTATGTGGGGGAAAGTGATCCTGTAAATAACCAAGACCCAAATCACGTAGGCTTATAAAGATTATAACCAACACTTTGTACTTCGCCCCAAAACTAATTGGTAACCAATGGCGTGACTTTAGGATGGGTAGGTTAGGACCCTTAATGGCAAGCACCTCTGTCTTGTTTGGTTTCCATTTCAATTTGTTTTTCTTCATCCATCGATTACCTCCTCCAGACATTTATTCAGTGAAGACATGCTACCCTTTGCCTCATGCTTCCCAATGATCTCTCACAATGCTTCCATGTAAATGTTTAAGAGCATTGGGAAGGGAATGCCCCCTGTTGGATGCGGGTTAGGTTTTCCCTTGACATTGAGTCCAGTCATGTCTGACTCTGGAGGTTGGTGCTCACCTCCATTTCTAAGCCAAAGAGCCAGCATTGTCTGTAGACGCCGCCAAGGTCATGTGGCCAGCATGACTGTATGGAGCACCGTTACCTTCCCGCCGGAGTAGTGCTTATTGATATTGGCAGAAGCTGGGGCTGATAGAAGGAGCTCACTCCACTCCCCGGATTTGAACCTGCGACCTTTTGATAAACAAGTTCAGCAGCTCAGCAGTTTAACCCACTACGCCACCATGGGCTCCTGTTGGATGCAACATGGCTACTCTTTTTTAGGAAGGGCACCACCATAAGGAAGCCCCCAGTAGTGCAGTGGGTTAAACCGCTGAGCTACTGAGCTTGTTGACTGAAAGGTCGCAGGTTCGTCTCCAGGGAGCAGCAAGAGCTTCTGCTGTCAGCCCCAGCTTCTGCCAACCTAGCAGTTCAACAACATGCAAATGTGAGTAGATCAATAGGTACCGCTCCGGCAGGAAGGTAACGGTGCTCCATGCAGTCATGCCGTAGCACCGTTACCTTCTATGGACAACACCGGCTCTTCAGCTTAGAAATGGAGATGAGCACCAACCAAACAGTTGGACACGACTGGACTTAATGTCAGGAGACAACCTTTATCTTTACCTTACCACCATCTGGGACCATCTGAGAGCTAAAACCAGAATCAGTGCAACATTGTGCCTCCAATTCCCAACTGCCCCAGGCATTCCAGCAGCATACCATGGTCAATGGTATTGAAAGCCACTGAGTGATCTAAAAGTGTCAACAGGGACAAGTTCCCCCTGTCAGTGTTGAGATGAAGATCATTCACTAAGAAGACAATAGCAGTCTGAACACTGTATCCTGCTCTGAAGCTGGTTTGAGATAGGTCAAGGAAGTCTGCATCATCCAAGACTGCCTGGAGTTGGAAGGCAATTGTCTTCTCAATCACCTTGTCCAAAAAAAAGGAAGATTGGACACTGATTTGTAGTTATTAAGTTCGACGGGATTCAAGGAGTACTTTTTCATCAGTGGTCTGACTATGGCTCCTTCAAAATATAATGGAAAATTCCCTTCCCTGAGAGATGCATTGATAACATTATGTAGCACAATTTATTCTCCTGGGTTATAAATTTGAATTCCTAATTGGTTCTATCATTAAAACATAGAGAAAGTTTATTAAATTACAAAAGCTTTGGTTTTGCAGGAGAGACATAGTAAGGTAAAGGTTGTCCCCTGACATTAAGTTTCATGTCTGACTCTGGGGTGTGGTGCTCATCTCAATTTCTAAGCCGAAGAGCCAGCGTTGTCCATAGAGACCTCCAAGGTCATGTGGCCAGCATGAGTGCATGAAGCGCCGTTACCTTCCCGCCGAAGCGGTACCTATTGATCTACTCACATTTGCATTTTTTCGAACTGCTAGGTTGGCAGAAGCTAGGGCTGACAGCGGAAGCTCACGCCGCTTCCTGGAATCAAACCTGCGACCTTTTGGTCAACAAGCTCAGCAGCTCAGTGCTTTAACCCACTGCGCCACCGGGGGGCCCCAGGGGAGACATACTGAAGCACATTTCACTATAGTTTTTCAGTGAATATCTCATAGAGTCTCAACTAATTCAATATAGTTTGTGACAGCCACAAAAATGACATTTCTGGAGTACAAAAATACTTTCAAAGTATATACCACAAAATTAAGCAGGATATAAAACTTTTTTTCACATTTTGTTACATAGTGTTATTTGTTGTATTTGAGATCAAATTGCATCTCCTTCCTGGATGACCAGTCAAGAGGTACAGGGATCAAGAAAGAAGGTTGCTCTTCTTTGCCTCAGCAGCATGTCCACATCAACAGTGCCCAGCAATTGAAACTGATCCAGTGTAATCCTCCACACATAGTTGCTTGGCACCTTGTTATAAACTTTTGCTCCAATGGGTGACATCAAAGAAATAATCACAAACAATACAGAACCTTACAAAACCTCCTTTTTCATCAGCATATTTACACTTATGAGACACCCATTAGCATTTATTTATCACTGGAAATGTTTGTTGGTTAAATGTGATTTCTGGTTCTTATCTGGATAGAGTAAAATAATATAACATTTTGGGAAAAAGATGCAGCCAAGTAGTCCAGCACTGGAGGCCAATATAGAGAAGATCTCCACAGCCACCATATATTTCCCTTTGGTGCTGAGGTAGGCTGGGATGAAGGATACCCAGACAGTGCAGAAAACTAACATGCTGAAAGTGATGAACTTGGCTTCATTGAACACATCAGGCAGCTTCCTGGCAAGGAAAGCCACAATGAAGCTCACCAAAGCCAAGACACCCATGTAGCCCAGAATGGAATAGAAGGCAATGGATGAGCCCTCATTGCACTCCAGGATGATGTGTCCAGGCTCCGAGTAGAAATCCGCATCTGGGAATGGAGGGGAGGTTCCCAACCACACAATACAAATCACAGCCTGAATGAGAGAACAGACCAGCACAAAGAAGTATGAAAGTCTAGGTCTCAGCCATTTCTGTGCACCACTGCCTGGCTTTGTGGCCTTGAAGGCCAGAACCACCGTGATGGTTTTGGCCAAGACTGTAGCAAGAGAGGCAGAGAAAATGATCCCAAAGGCTACCTGGCGAAGAAGGCAGGTCGTTTTACTTGGTCGTCCAATGAAGAGCAAAGAGCAGAGGAAGCAAAGTATGAGGGAAGAGAGGAGGACATAGCTGAGCTGCCGGTTGTTGGCTTTAACTGTGGGAGTCTCTCTGTATCTGATAAAGTTTCCTAATATTAACGCAGATAAGAATGAAAAAAATAACACAGTGAAAGCTAAAGCAATTCCTAAAGGTTCCACATAGGAAAGGAAGGTGATGTTTTTTGGGATGCATTTATTTCTTCCATTGTTTGGATAGTGGTCCTTTTTGCAATCCACGCAACAATCCATATCTAGAAAACACGAATCAGAGGATACTTTTATCTATTTGCCTTTGTGCATTTCTCTTGGTTGAAATATTGGCAGTCTATCTAAGGGCTATCCTACCTGGCATACTGGATATTTTTCCTGTAGGACATTCAATGCACTGGAAACAACATTTGGATTTGCCCTTCAAAGGAATCTTCCAGAACCCAGGTGAACATTTATGGCTGCAGACAGAATGTGGTGGCTATGCAGATTTAATGAGAAAAATTAAAATATATATAAAGCAATCATTTTTGTAGCGCATTTTTAATTGAAATGGCTCCCATAACAACCGAACCATGTACAAAGGTTTCTGAGTACTTTGGTAAAACAAACATGTAATGAAGATGTAAGAGCAAAAGAATATTGGAATGCCTTCCTCGTGTACACTTCCCGAGCATCACTGTCCTATGCTTTTCAGCTGCCAAGTAAAATGCTTCATTTTATGGGGAATTCAAGTTGATCTCTAACACTGCATTTTAGTTTGAGCTGGTTCATGGGTAACTATTTTGTTTTGTTTGATTGATGCATTATTATATTTTAAGGACAATTCAATAATTGGATCATTCTATCCCACCCAAAACCCACTTTGGTTGAAGAGAGTCAATCTTTGAATTTTAAAATAAGCTAAAAATATCAATAATTATGAAGTTATACAACATGACTTACCTGGAAGTATTTGTTATTCCATAAGGCCATTTCTTCATAAATAGCAATACTGTGATTTTTTGCAGAGCCAAGGTTCACTTCCCCAACTTTCACGCTGAGAAAGGAGTTGTTGGGGAACAGGAACCAATTCAAAATATTGTAAGTTACCATGTGTCCAATCCCATCAAAAATGGCATCTTCCACGGTAGTTTTGTTGTAAAGTATGTTTTTAAGGAACCAGTGCATCTGAATATAATAAAGAATATAAGTGTGCATTGCGTATCATGAAGTGTCCAAACCCCATTGTTTCAAAAATGCCTTCAATGGCTTAAGGATTCAAAATTTTTATTTTTATTTTTGTAAAACTCATATTTTAGCAAGAGCACTTCCAAGCTGCAAACACAGTTTTTTCAGGGGGAGTGTCACCCCATCCAGAACTGGTTGGTACACCTCGATCCCTAGGTTAGGAGGATTCTTATGGCCTTATTACATGGCCGCCCCCCGGCACTCCTCTTAAGGGTGAGACGTAGAGCCCTCATCTCGCCTCACATTGCTTCGCCAACTAGCAGGACAATCACATGAAGGGAAGTGAGGAGCATGCGTAGTCACGTAGACACTTCCCATATTGCCAGATCAGTGTCTGCTCCATGGGGCGAAGCTGCCTCTATCTTGTCTGGATTCCGTTTCAATTTGTTTTCCTACATCCATCCATTACCTCCTCCAGGCATTCATTCAGAAAAGACTTAATATCCCTAGCTGAGTGTATTTTTGAAGGCATAGAGAAATATATTTTGGTGTCAACAACATATTGATAGCACCCTGTCTCACGCCTCTTAATAATCTCACCCAATGGTTTCATGCAAATGTTGAAAAGCATTGGGGAAGAGAATGTCATCTTGTGGGATGCCACATAGCTCCCTTTCTGAGGGCCAACACCCTCTTGGAACCTTCCTGAGAGGTACAATCAGAACCATTGTGCCTCCAATTCTAACCCTCCTCCCACCTCAGGCATTCCAGAGGATACCATGGTCAATGTTCTGTTGCGCGCTGGGCCTGTAAAGAATTTCCTTTAGAACAGGACCTGCAACCTTTGCCCAGCGGGAAGCCAGGGGGCCCAAGGAGAAGTTCTCAGAGGTTTTCCACCACAAATGATCTTTAGATGGCTTGTGAAGTATAACAAAGTCTTTTATTAATGAACAATCAAACAGAAACTTCTCTTGTCTTCAATAAAGCTAAACAAATGCTTCCAAGCTTTATGCAACTGGTGACTTCCTAATCTTGCCCACGAAGGACAGGCAACTGTCTTCAATAACTTCTTCTTTACTTTAAAGGAAAATCCCCTTTTTAACTTCTCCCAGGCTGACTGTAATCTAACCCTTACTGATGTGGGCTCCGCTACCGGGTCGAACTGCATCGAGTGGACCTTAGATATTCTCCAGCTGGAGTTCTTTGGTCTTTAGGGCTGTTTTCCTGGAAATCTTTGGAGACTCTTAAGACTGTTTTCCCCCGGAAAGTCTTGGATGCTCTTAAGACTGTTTTCCCCCGGAAAGTCTTAAGGGTTGAAGCTTTTGTACAGGGGAAGCTTGCACACATCCTGTACATTAGCTTTCCTTGCTGAGACTAACTAAAAATGGCTCCCTTCCCTTCCCAATTGCCCTGAGCAAGGGGCGGAACCAAAACTTAATGATGATGGATAGGTGACTTGCCCTATGACTGCAACCAAAGGAAGCCACCTATCTGCAAAGTCCCTGAAACCCAGGGCTGCAAGCAAACATTTAATACAAAGCAAATAAATTTGGAGCTCCTGGTACAGCCGTACCAGCACAGTCAAAGGTATCAAAAGTGCTGAGATATTTAAAAGCACCAACAGGGACAAACTCCCCCTATCAGCGTTGAGATGGAGATCATCCACTAAGGTGAACATAACTGTCTCAGTTCACCTTGTCTTTATTCAGTCCATTACCTCCTCCAGGCATCCTTTCAGTGGAAACACACTATCCTTAGCCGAATCGGTTTTTGAAGGCATGGAGAAATATATTTGGGGGTCATCAGCATGCTGATAGCACCTTGCCCCATGTCTCCAGATGATCTCTCAGTGTTTCATGTAATGCTAATAAGGACCTAAAATGCACCTCCCCCCCCCCCCAAAAAAAATGTTTTCCAGAAGGATGTCATGGTTGGTGATTTTGAAAGCCACTGAGAGATCTAGAAGCACAAACAGGGACAAACACCCCTTGTCAGTGTTGAGCTGGAGATCATCTACTAAGGAGACCATAGCAGTCTTCAACTCCATATTCTGCTCTGAAGCCAGTATAAAATGGCTCAAGGAAGCATGTGTCATGCAAGATTGCCTGGAGTTGGGAAGCAACTAGCTTCTCGATCACCTTTCCCAGAAAAGGTATGTTAGACACTGGTTTGTAGTTATCAAGGTCCAAGTGATCTAGGGAGGGCTTTTTCAGCAGTGGTCTGGCTACTTCTTTTAAACAGTGTGGAAAATTCCCTTCCTGCAGAGACCGATTGATAATTTGTTGTTTTTTGAAATCTAACTGTACGAGTATCTCTTCCCTGAACAATCAGCCAAGAGGGGCAAGGATCATGAAAGCCGGTTATAGAATCATAGAATCATTGAGTTGGAAGAGACCTTGTGGGCCATCCAGTCCAAACCTCTGCTAAGAAGCAGGAAAATCACATTCAAAGCACCCCCGACAGATTATCCTGGGATCCCATCCCATGAGGGGAAGCATCACCAGCCAGCTTCCTCCCATCGATCCAAAGGCAACATAGGAAGCCTCCCATGTTGCCACTGCCGTGGCATATACAGCTTGCTCTCCCCTTTCGGCACAGAGCCCAGCTGTAAGTACACATGTGTCGTGTAATGGGCTCCATGTTGAAAGTAAAGAGCAAGCAACATACAGCAGTCAAATCAGCCCGTCAGATGAGGTGGTAAGTCTTATTGAATGCCTTCAGATTTCAGATTTGCAAATACAAACTCTTTTTCTTGAACTGGCAGTTACAGGACTGTCAAGGGAGAGAAATGGTCCAGAGTTTGCAGAGCACGATGAGCATCACATCCATTTGCCCCTCTCCAGGTGCAGAGCAGGGGTTTGATGCATATAATGGTCAAGAAAGCTAGATGGAAGCAGGTTCAGAAGCTAAAAGACGATTCTTAAGCATTTTTATAAACTGCAACTTTCAGACAACATGAAGCTTGGTTTTGGGCAAGTTTCAAATACGCCACACAGAAATTCTGTTTTTATTTCTGTTTTGGGAGCCTCCAAGGCCCCTGTGGCACAATGGGTTAAACCACTGAGCTGCTGAATTTGTTGACTGAAAGGTCGCAGGTTTGAATTCGGAGAGCGGTATGAGCTTCCGCTGTCAGCACCAGCTTCTGCCAACCTAGCAGTTTGGAAACATGCAAATGTGAGTAAATCAATAGGTACTGCTTCGGCGGGAAGGTAACACCGCTCTATGCAGTTATGCCAGCCACATGACCTTGGAGGTGTCTATGGACAATGCCGGTTCTTTGGCTTAGAAATTGAGATGAGCACCAACCCCTAGAGTCGGGCACAACTGGACTTAATGTCAGGGGAAAACCTTTACCTTTACTAAGGTGACTCAAGCAATTGTGTGACAATCTTGTTGTTGTCAAGGTGAAAGGACTCACCTGCCACAGAGGGATGTTCCTAGGTTTCAGAACATTTCTCCCTTTTTTTTGCTTTGGTCTGTCCAAATAAAGATAATGCAGTGCCTTGCCCACCACAAAAACTGCTTTGTAGATACTGTGACTCAGGGGGCTCATGTTCATCTCAAAATGGGATACAGAGGGGCCATCCAACTTCTCCTGACCACTGCATGACCTAATTCCAAGCTGTAGAGGCCATGAATAGGGAGGAGGCAAATTGCAGTTGAATACTTGGCTCCAGAAACTCTTAATGAAAACATCATCAGGATATTTGTTCAGAGTCACAGACTGGAGAAAATGCCGGAATCCTGGGATCTCTTTCTGATGGGATACAAAGGATAAAGCACCAGACAATTGTCCCCCTCTTAAATACAGATTAGTGTCCCACTTTGCTGTGGTCAACCACACTTTCCCTGCCAGTATCCCCTTTGTTTGCAAGTATATTATTGAGAGGAACTTGATATCACCATAGGCAAACACCACTTTGCATGATGACCTCCTTAGCTCTTGGTCTTTCTGTTCCAGTTCATTGAAAAATGCGAAAGCATTGTCGTAAAAAATTAGAAATTCATGACAGATCCCATTCTCCTCCATTTCCCTTTTTAATTTATGGATGAGGCTCCCACTTCTGCCATATGCTGCGGCAAAAAGTCCAATCCATGTCCACTCAAAGTGCAGAAGCAATTGGATTATGCCCACAAGATGAAGTTCATCACTTGAGTATATTTGATACAAGGAGGGAAATTCAATTTGATTATTGAAGATGGGGTCATAAGAGCCATAACTGATCTGTGTGGATACATAAAGTATTGTCAGATGCTTTCCCAATAAGTTGATACAGCAATGATTCAGCAAGATATTTATTGCTGTGATTAGATCATAGACTGGGAAAGCATCTAAACCAGGCATGGGCAAACTTCAGCCCTCTAGGTATTTTGGATTTCAACTCCCACAATTCCTGTTCTCAGGCCCCACAATTCCTGGTCTCCGAAAGGAAAGGGCCTGAGGCTTTTAGGAATTGTGGGAGTTGGTCCAAAACACCTAGAGGGCCATAATTTGCCCATACCTGATATAAACTGTAGAATGCATGTAGAATGCATGCAGTTAGACACTACTTTTACTGTCATGGTTGAATAATATGGGACCATGGAAGCAGGGCCGTAGCCAGAAAAATTTTTTGGGGAGGGTTGACAATTTTGGGGGGGGGGGTTGAAATTTGGGGGGGTGAAAAATTTCAGGGAGGGTTGAAAATTTCGGCAGGGGGGGGGGTTGAAACCTGCCTCCTAGCTCACGCTGAAGCAAAGAGCACAGCAGGGGACAGAGCAACCTTCAATAGCCTGCAGCTCCGCCCCTCAACCACCTCCACCAAGTCTGGCCTCCTTAATGAGAGCATTCAACACACACACACCCCACTTGGTTGCTTCACTACATTGGCTATTGCTGCAAGTAATGACAGTGTGAATAAATTGTCAATATTTGCTTGAGATAGTGCTTGCAGTTCTGGAGGGACTCTTAATTTTTTGCATCTCATAGACTTAGCATGGGGATTTGGTTAACCAGTTAAAATTCATGAGTAAACCAGGTTTTTTTAAAAAAATCTGAAACATTTTGGGGGGGGGTTGAACCCCTAAAACCACCCCCTCGCTACAGGCCTGCATGGAAGTATTAGTTTTACAAGGTCTCTAGCCTTCTCTACAGAATACTGCTGAGCCTCACCAAACTATAATTCCTGTGATTCCATAGCACTGAGCCATAGCAGTGGTGCCAAAAAGTATAAATTCTAAAGTATAAATCAGCAATTCTCAACCTGGGGGTCGGGACCCCTGGGGGGGGGGGGTTCGAGGGACTTTTCAGAAGGGTCACCAAAAAGGTTGAGAATCACTGGTATAGATACTCCCTGAGACTTGGAAAATCCAAGTTGTAGTCCCCATTGAGGCATGAAAGCCATTGAGGGAAATTACTCTTTTTCAATCTGCCATGCCTCACAGGATGGTTGTGAGGATAATGATTAATCAAAAAGAGACATAGATATTGAGTCTTTCCAAAAGTATATAAAATGTGAGCTGTCCCAATGTAACCAATGCCATAATTGTAAGTCACAGAGGAATTTGTTGATTGAATTTAGGCTAGTTGCCCTAGAAATGAAAAGGCACTTCTGAGAATTTGTACTTCACACATCAAAAAAAGTATTGTTTTTGTATTGTGCATATTGAGCATGGGCTTTGAAATATTGCTGGACAGCTGTATTCTGCGTACAGAAACTCAACATCAACATCTCTCCATAGGTCTCATTGTCAGATGATGATAAAGGGAATATAGAAATGTCCTTAGCTGTGGTATCTTGTATCTTGTACCTGTGGTATCTTGTAGATCCCGAGCATGTTGGCCACCTGAACAGATGATTCTGATGTCTGGGCTCCAATGACAGCCATCATTTTCTTTTGGTGTTGACAATTGTAATTGGGAAAAAGTCTGACTTTCCTTGTGTTCCTCATGTTGTAAGAGGACTGACCATAACCATAGTAGAGCCCATTTCCATAAAAAGGTATGTAAACTGGAGCGAGCTTGTCCCTCTCAGACAGTAGGCTGATGACATTCTCATAGGTTTGGCTTCCGCTGTAATAGTTGTCATATAGGCGAAATCCTAGAGAGGTGTTGGGTAAGAAATGAGGATCCTTGTTGATTTCCTCCACAGCGAATACAAATGCCAGGACATGCTGGTAGTTCTTTGATTCTGGGCTGTGGAGACAGAAAGAAAAGCAAAGCATTTCCTATGTAACAGACATAGGCTAATACTCTTTTGGTTAGCTCCCCATTCAGAAGACCTTTTCAATTGTTTTATGTCAATGCATAGGTAAATTCCACTGAGTGATGGGTCTCTCCTGGACAGAAATAATATTAGGACTTAGGCAATAGAAGGCTGGTCTACTACCACTACCATGAAGAAACCCTGTTAGTTAGCAAGAATTTCTGGTTAAATGGCCTTGAGTAGAGCAGTAAACATAGAAATGTAGAGAAACACAGCTGAATGGCACAAAAGGATTCAAAATCTTTTAATGTAAGCAAAAGGTTAAAGTTAGAAAGAACTTTCAAGGCTCAAAGTAATTGCTAGGCACTCCGTCTCTGTAACCATTGGTGGGATTTAATGTTGGCCACCAATGGTTTAGGTTTTTCTCCTTATAAAACTCTTTGAACAAAATTATTCTTTTATATCCATATTGGTTAAGATTATCTGCTCTCAGCACTCCAAACTGTTGGCAAAATTAATATTTTATATACTTCTTCTCCTAATTGTTTGCACTGTCTATCGCTATCCCTCCATTTTATGTGTATCGGATGGAAGATGAATCTTAACTCCACAACTGATTAGCACAAAAGGTGTGGACTGAGTGTCATAGGACCAGGTATTTTTGTAGAAGGTGAGAATCACAAAGTGGAATACACACCGTACAATCAGGAACTATAACATCTAGTCTGGCTAACAGGTCAAACGCTCAGAGTGATTGGGTTGTTGTGAGTTTTCCAGGTTTTATGGCCATGTTCCAGAAGCATTCTCTCCTGACGTTTTGCCTGCATCTATGGCAGGCATCCTCTGAGGTTGTGAGGTCTGTTGGAAACTAGCAAAATGGGGTTTATATCTCTGTGGAATGTCCAAGGTGGGAGAAAAAACTCTTGTCTGTTGGAGGTAGGTGCAAATGTTTCTGGCTCCCAGTATTTAAAAATTCTAAAATCACAACAGTAAATAAAGAACAGCACTCAATAAAAGGGGAATTCCAGGCAAGAAACAATCAGTCAGCTAATCACCTCCCAACAAAGGATCTCCCCAGGCAGTAAGAAGCCAGACCTTGAAACTGCTGGACCATTAAATGCTAATCAAGGTGGCCAATTGCAACATTCACACCTACCTGAAACAGATGATAGTTTTTTCTCCCACCCTAGACATTCCACAAATATATAAACCCCACTTGCCTTGTTTCCAACAGATGTCACAACCTCTGAGGATGCCTGCCATAGATGCAGGTGAAACGTCAGGAGAGAATGCTTCTGGAATATAGCCATTCATCCCGGAAAACTCACAACAACCAGTGATTCCGGCCATGAAACCTTTGACAATGCTCAGCGTTATGATTATACATTAATCAAAGTGGCAAAAGTTGGCTTCCTGAGACTCTGGCTGGATTTACACTGTCATATATTGCAGTTCGAGACGATAGTGTAGAACCATCCTTTGCTTCAGACTTCTCTTTGAACTGTCAAAATATTTAGTATCTCAACCAGCTAATAAGAAACAAAATTCTTACACTTTTGAACCCCTAACCTCCCCCCCCCCGAAATGTTTCAGATTTTTAAAAAAACCTGGTTTACTCATGAATTTTAACTGGTTCACCAAATACCCATGTTAAGTCTATGAGATGCAAAAAATTAAGAGTCCCTCCAGAACTGCAAGCACTATCTCAGGCAAATATTGACAATTTATTCACACCGTCATTACTTGCAACAATAGCCGATGTAGTGAATCAACCAAGTTGGGGGTGTGTGTGTTGAATGTTCTCATTAAGGAGGCCAGACTTGGTGGAGGTGGTTGACAGGGGCGGAGCTGCAGGTTATGGAAGGCTGCTCTGCCCTCTGCTGTGCTTTTGCTTCAGCGTGAGCTAGGAGGCAGGTTTCAACCCCCCCCCCCCGTGAAATTTTCAAACCACCCCCGAAAATTTCAACACCCCTCCCCCCGAATTTTTTTTCTGGCTACGGCCCTAGTTATAGGATATAAGTTGGTTTGGTTTCAATGGGTCTTTGCAGAAGGCAAAGTGTCTTATCGGGTGTGAATCTTTGTTACTGCTATTGCTCTCAAGCTTGGGTCCTTGGACTACAGATCTCCATGTTTCCGTGACTTCTGGCTGATACTCCTTAAGTGCTGACTTCAACTCTCCCTTTGACTCCGGACTGTGTTTTGACAACGACTACGCTTTTTGGACTGCTTCATCTCATTTTGGACGTGCCTGGACTTCGGACTGCATTTGGACTCTGATTTTGCATGCTCCCACCTTGTTTTCTTGTGTTTTTTGGACCTTTTGAATTTCAAGCGGATTGCTGTATCTTTTTGTTATCCCAGATTATACTCCAGTATAATCCAGATTATATTTAAATTGGGTTTTTTTGCTTAGCAGTTGCTATAGACTCTTTGTTTGTGCTAGAGGCACTGAATTAAGTGTCTCTAAGCCTTTATTTATTTATTTATTTATTTATTTATTTCGGTTACTTCTACCCCGCCCCAGAGGGGGACTCAGGGCGGCTTACAAAGGCACAATTCGATGCCAGCATCAACATAACAGTAGAATAAAAACAATATAGCAGCAATTAAACAATTAACAATCAGCACTGCAACAATAAAACCAATAAAACCAATAAAACCGATTTCACCTAATTAACGCTCAGCGTTTGCCATCTCATAGACCAAATTCCAATTCCACTTTGTCAGTCCTGTCAGTCCTAGTTGTCCAATTGTCTTTATCTAATTGTCAGATTGCCCGAAGGCCTGGTCCCACAGCCATGTTTTTAATTTCCTCCTGAAGGAAAGGAGGGAGGTTGATGACCTAATTTCCCCCGGGAGTGAGTTCCATAGATGAGGGGCCACCACTGAGAAGGCCCTGCTCCTCGTCCTCATCAACCTCACTTGTGATAGCGATGGGGTCGAGAGCAGGGCCTCCCCAGATGATCTCAAACTCCAAGGTGAGACATAGAGGGAGATGCGTTCGGACAGATACGCTAGACCGGAACCATATAGGGTTTTGTAGGTAAAAACCAGCACCTTGAATTGTGCTCGGAACTGAACCGGCAGCCAGTGGAGCTGACACAACAGGGGGGTGGTGTGCTCCATGTATGACGCTCCGGTGAGCAATCTGGCTGCCGCTCGCTGGACCAGTTGAAGTTTCCGAACAGTCTTTTTTGTGTTTAATAAACCTTTGTTTGGACCTTTTATATTGTGTTTGGCGTTCTTGAGGCTTCTAGGTCTTGACATAGCCAGACTAGATATTATAGTTCCTGATTGTATGGTGCGTATTCCAGTTTGTGATTCTCACCTTCTACAACACTACCTGGTCCTATGACACTCAGCCCACACCTTTTGTGCTAATCAGTTGTGGAGGCAAGATTCATCTTTCAGCCGATACATCTTTGGCAGGCATCCTAAGAGGTTGTGAGGTCTGTTGGAAACTAGAGAAGTGAGGTTTATATTTCAGAAATGTCCAGGGTGGGAGAAAGAACTCTTGTCTGCTTGAGGCAAGTGTGACTGTTGCAATTGACCACCTTGATTAGCATTTAATGGGTTTGCAGTTTCAAAGCCTGGTTGAACCAACCTGGACACAGCATATTATTTGAGAACACAGAAATGCCACTCTATCAACTACCATGTCAGACTACACAGAGAAGCCATTGAAATTTAGCTGTCACAGCTTTTCCGGGAAGTCATTTCACTGTCTTGGGGCAGCTGATAAAAAGGTCCTCTGCGTAATCATTGCCAGACAGGTTTGGGCCTATTAGAGTCAGCATTACCCAGAGGACCTGGGTGTCTTAAGGGGCAGATTATATTGGAGAAAGTGATCCTTTAAATAACCAGGACCCAAATCATCTAGGCTATAAAAATTCTAACCAGCACTTTGTTTGTTGTTGTTCATTCGTTCAGTCGTTTCCGACACTTCGTGACCTCATGGACCAGCCCACGCCAGAGCTCCCTGTTGGCTTCACCACCCCCAGCTCCTTCAGTGTTTTTTTTTAACCAAAAAGGGCTTTGTCTTTCCACCTCCTTGCCACTGTCTCCTCCACCTTTGAAGATGTAGCAACGGAAAATATATAGTGTTATTTGTTGTATTTGAGATCAAAGTGCATCTCCTTCCTGGATGACCAGACAAGAGGTGCAGGGGTCAAGAAAGAAGGTTGTTCTTCCTTGCCTCAGCAGAATGCCCACATCAACAGTACCCAGCAATTGAAACTGATCCAGTATAATCATACTCACAGAGTTGCTTGGCACCTTGGTATAAACTTTTGCTCCAATGAGTGGCATCAAATAAATCATCACAAACAATACAGCACCTTACAAAACCTCAATTTCCATCAGCATTGCTGTAATATTTACACTTATAAGACATCCATTAGCATTTATATATCACTGGAAATGTTTGCTGGTTATATGTGCTTTCTGGTCCTTATTTGGATAGAGTAGAATAATATAACATTTTGGGAAAAATATGCAGCCAAGTAACCCAGAACTAGAGGCCAATATAGAGAATATCTCCACAGCCACCGTATACTTCCCTTTGGTGCTGAGGTAGGCTGGGATGAAGGATACCCAAACAGTGCAGAAAACCAACATGCTGAAAGTGATGAACTTGGCTTCATTGAAGCTGTCAGGCAGCTTCCTGGCAAGGAAAGCCACAATGAAGCTCACCAAAGCCAAAAGACCCATGTAGCCCAGAGTGGAATAAAGGGCAGTGTGTGAGCCTTCATTGCACTTCAGGATTATGATTCCAGGCTCCGAGTCAAAATCTGCATCTGGGAATGGAGGGGAGGTTCCCAACCAAACCATAGAAATCACAGCCTGAATGAGAGAACAGATCATCACAAAGAAATAAGAAACTCTAGGTCTTAGCCATTTCCGTACACCGCTGTCTGGCTTTGTGGCCTTGAAAGCCAGAACCACGGTGATGGTTTTGGCCAAGACTGTAGCAAGAGAGACAGAGAAAATGATCCCAAAGGCTGCCTGCTGAAAAAGGCAAGTCATTTTACTTGGTCGTCCAATGAAGAGCGAAGAGCAGAGGAAGCAAAGTATGAGGGAAGAGAGGAGGACATAGCTGAGYTGCCGGTTGTTGGCTTTAACTATGGGGGACTCTCTGCATCTGATAAAGTTTCCTAGCACCATAGCAGACAAGAATGAAAAAAATACTGCAGTGAAAGCTAATGTGATTCCCAAAGGTTCCTCATAGGATAAGAAGATTATGTTTTTGGGGATGCACTTATTTCTTCCTTTGTTTGGGTAGTGATCCTTGTTGCATTCCACACAATAATCCATATCTAGAAAACACAGATCAGAGGACACTTTCATCAATTTGTCTTTGGGCATTTTACTTGATTGAAATATTGTCAGTATATCCAWAGTGAAGAAACATAGGTTGGAATAATTAAATGATGTGACATTTGCAGAGGATAACTGCTTAACAAGTGTACTTAACAATATTGCATAGTTGCACCGCTTTGATTTGTAACAACTCTGTGTATTGATAACTGCCTAATATATGTCGAAGGTTTTCATGGCTGGAATCACTGGGTTGTTGTAGGTTTTTTGGGCTATATGGCTATGTTCTAGAAGCATTCTCTCCTGATATTTCGCCTGCATCTGTGGCAAGCATCCCCTGAGGATGCTTGCCATAGATGCAGGCGAAACATCAGGAGAGAATACTTCTAGAACATGGCCATATAGTCCGAAAAACCTACAACAACCCAACTGCCTAATATCCTAATTATAATGCTAATTGATATTGATCACTGCTCTGTGCCTCACTTGAAACTTAGTTTTAGTTAGCTCTAACAGTCTCCAAGAAGGGGCAGCTTGACCCACGATGGAACTTCAAAAAAACCAGATTTAATGAATTGTTTTGTTAAGACTTCAAACTTAAGCACAGGGGTTTGTTTGTTTTTTCCCTGTCCGAAGCAACTTGAGAAACTGTAAGTCGCTTCTAGTGTGAGAGAATTGGCCATCTGCAAGGACATTGCCCAGGGGACGCCCGGATGTTTTACCATCCTGTTGGAGGCGTCTCTCATGTCCCATCACAGGGTGCTGTAGTAGGGAGTGAAAACTGGTTGACACAGCAAGGCCATAAATCTTCTCATAAGTGATGGGAATAAACTAGGAGGCTAATTAGCTAGCACTGGCATAATGGGTCTAACCATGCATGCTCCAGCAATAAAAGTCAACATAATGGCTTTAAGGCACATGCTCACAGAAATGGAAAAGTTTTGTAAGGAAACAGAAGTTAAATTGTTTATATAAACAAAAGCTGGACCGAGGAGCAGGTGTGGTGATTTCATTTGTTTGTAAAGCTCACTGTGTATTTATATGATCAAATCAACTCACTGTAATGGAAATCTCCTGTCTCTAGTTACTATTTTGGGACTTGAATACTAGAGATCATTACAGCTGGGAAACAGGATCTGAGTAATGTCAAAAGTCTATGGACAGGATAGTTTATTAAGTCATGTGGCATCATAACCTACTACTAATACATACCCGTCTCATTGGATATTTTTCCTCTAGGACATTCTGTGCATTGGAAGCAACATTTAGGCTTGCCCCTCAAAATAACCTTCCAGAACCCAGGTGAACATTTATGGCTGCACACAGAACGCGGTGGCTATGCAGATTCAGTGAGAAAAAAATTAAAGTAAATATTAAACAATCATTTTTATACAACATTTTAAATTTAAGTGGCTTCTGTAACAACCTATCCATGTACAAACTTTTCTGAGTGCTTTGATAAGATAAATCTATAATGAGGAAATAAAAGACAGGTCCTTTTCTTTTGCATTCTGAACATTGAAATTCCTTCTCCAAGGACACTTCCTGAGCATAACTGTTGTATGCTTTTCAAATGCAAAATATGTAATTGTGGTTGATTTCGAACATTGTTTTTTATTTTGTACTGGTTAAGGGGTAACTTTTTTTAAAAAAAGCTCTGATATTTGTGTATTGATGCATTATTATATTTTTCAGGTTGTTTGAATAATTTGATCATTCTGTTCTACCCAAAGCTGACATTTGTTGGTGAGAGGCAGTTTATGAATTTTAAAATAAGCCATCAAGAAGAACGTATGCCTCATCACTTACCTGGATGAATTTGTCATTCCAGATGTTTATCTCTTTGTGAATAGCAACACTGCGGTTTCTTGCAGAGTGAAGGTTCACTTCTCCAACCTTCACACTGAGAAGGGAGTCATTGGGGAACAGGATCCAATTTAAAATATCATAAGTTGCCATGTCTTCAATCCCATCAAAAATGGCACCCTCCACAGTAGTTTTGTTGAAAAGTATTTTCTTAAGGAACCAGTGTATCTGAATGTAACAAAGAATATGTGTGTATTATGAAGTGTCCAAAACTTATCGTCAATGAGTAGCTAGACTTAGAAGTATGATTAGACTGAGGGACCCCTTTCCCCATGTTCCTATGTATTCTTATCTCAGAAGGGGCTCTGTCATTACACTTTGCTTGCGACTATCTCCTCTCCCTTTGAAGATGTAGCAATGAAATCTCTGTGAGGGATGAAGTAACTTCCTCTTTAAAGGTATTTTATTGCCCTGGGTTTGACCATGTGGTAATTCCCCATTTTGGCCCCTTTCCTTCTGCCTTTGTCTTCCTTCCAGTGAGGACACATTTTGCGATTCTTCGGGCAAAATGTTGCTGCATGGATATTTTTGATAGTTTATCCTTTTACCATCCTTAGAATGTTAGCTTAGTCAGTCAGTTAGCTCCAAGACCTTTTCTCTCTAGAATGGATTTCTTTTTATTCCAATAAACATTTTGAACCTAAACTTGCGACTCTGCAACCCTTTGCCATCATCTATGAATGGAAGCTAATCCTGACTTACCACACGTAAGTTTCTGCTGATTAGGAAGTGTGCTCCTGGCACTAAGCGATATTTTTAGTGGAATCACCCCAAGTGAGGGTTATTTATCAGTCTGACATTTCTCGCAACAGTTTTGTTGCGAAGTATCTGAATATAATAAAGAATATGTGTGTGTTATGAAGTGTCCAAAATTTCTTTATTGTGTGAACTCTTTGAAAATTGGAAAAATGTGAAAAACCATTCTAATATCAATCAGCAATTGGAAAATGTTGTGAACTTTCAATCAAATGGGTGACTTGAAATAAAATATGGCATCTGTATCTGTGTGGGATAGCTTCATGAACTTACTCTGGAAACTGGAAATTGGATAATAATGAATGACATCTATCATGGAGAATCCAGAAAATTCTTTTTTAAAAATATAATTTTTATTAAACAGAATTTTCTGTTACCATATAAACAATAAAAATAAATAAATAATAGATTGGGCGGAAAGGGAAGGGAAAAGGGAAGGGGGACAAAAAAAAGAAAAGGAAAGGAAAAAAGGGGGAGGAGAGGGTGGAAAGATGGCGATGGGGGTAAGTATTGATTTCCATTCTTTTTTCTAACGGTCAGTTTCTTTTTCACATGGAGGACCTAGACAATCCTGAAAGATGCCATATATTGTTGGATGTGCACTGGTGGATCGATAGTCTTGGTCCTATGGGCAAGGGTTTCATATTATAAATTATAATGTATGTTCCTAATCTCAGTGTTGAGGCTCAAAAAATAACCCTCACCTGGTGTGATTCCACCATAAATATCGCAGAATACCAGAAGCAAACTTCATAACCAGCAGAAACTTACATGTGGTGAGCCAGGATAAGCTTCCATTCAACAGGAAGGCACAGGATTGGAGACTTTAGGTTCCACATATTTATTTGAAGTAAAAAGGAATCCATTCTAGATAGAAAAGGTCTTGGAGCTAACTAGCTTACTAAAACTCATATTCTAAGAATGGTAAAAGGATAGAAAGCCAAAAATATCTATGCAGTTAAATTTTGCCTGGAGGGAGGCAAAATGTGTCCTCACTAGAAGGAAGAAAAGGCAACAATGGAGGATGACCATAAGGCCAAACCCAAAGCAATAAAAATACTTAAAGAGAAAGTTACTTCATACTTTCTGGGATAAGCAGAAGTATTGGGTTGTGGCACAGCTAGTTAGTAGCCAGCTGCATTAAATCACTATTGACCAAGAGGTCATGAGTTTGAGCCAGCCCGGGTTGGAGTGAGCTCCCAAATATTAATAGTCTAGCTTGCTGTTGACCTATACAGCCCGAAAGACAGTTGTATCTGTCAAGTAGGAAATTTAGGTACCCTTTTATGCGGGGAGGCTAATTTAACTAATTTACGACACCACAAAAACTTCCAGCAGCATGCGGAAGAATGAGGAAATACTCCATCAAAGGACTCGGTGTCACAAGTGAAGCGGCAGTGCCTGTGGTTGGAATAGAGCATACCCTCATGATGCCGGAAAAGCTGGAATGTTAAATTGCCTCTGTGTCTGTCTACAGATGTTGTATGTCTAATGGCATCGAATATTTGCTATGTATATGTGCATTGTAATCTGCCCTGGTCCCCTGCAGGGTGAGAAAGGCGGAATATAAATACTGTAAATAAAGTAAATAAATAAATAAGCATGCATAGGAATGTGGAGGGAGGAGTCCCTCAGTCGAATCCTATCTCTAATCTAGCTATTCATTGAGGTCTGGAGACTTGATGACACAAGAGACTTATGCAGTCCAGGGATGAAACCCAACACTCAGAATACTTGCACAACAGTAAGGATTAGTATCAGATTTTGTTGGTTTGCCTCATGTTTTCTATGATGTTCTCAAAGAGTAGGGACTCACCTGCCAGAGTGGAACAACCCCAAGTTTCAGACAGTTTCCCCCTTTTTTCTGCTTTAATCTGTCTAAAGAAAGATTGTGCAGTGCTTTGGCCACCACAAAAACTGCTTTGCAGATACTGTAACTCAGGGGGCTCATGTTCATCTCAAAATGGGATACAGAGGGACCATCCAACTTCTCCCGACCAGTGCATGGCCTGTGTTGTAGTTTTGCAGGCAGAGAGTAGGGAGGAAACAAGTTGCAGTTGAATACTTGGCTCCAGAAACTCTTAATGAAAACATCATCAGGATATTTGTTCAGAGTCACAGACTGGAGAAAATATCGGAATCCTGGAATCTCTTTTTGATGGGAAGCTAAGGATAGGGCACCAGAGAACTGTCCTGCATATATATACGGATTACCATCCCACTTTGCCGTGGTCAGCCACATTTTCCCTCCCAATATCTCATTTGTGTGCCAGTACACGTTTTCGAGGAAGTCGGCATCGCCATAGACAAATACCACTTTGCATGATGACCTCCTCAGCTCTCGTTTTCTCCCATCCTTTTCATCCAAAAATAGTAAAACATTGCGGATGAAAAAGAGAAATTCATGGCAGATCCCATTCTTCTCCATTTCCCTTTTTAGTTTATGCATGAGGTTTTCAAATATGTGTGTATTATGAAGTGTCCAAAACTTATCGTCAATGAGTAGCTAGACTTAGAAGTATGATTAGACTGAGGGACCCCTTTCCCCATGTTCCTATGTATTCTTATCTCAGAAGGGGCTCTGTCATTACACTTTGCTTGCGACTATCTCCTCTCCCTTTGAAGATGTAGCAATGAAATCTCTGTGAGGGATGAAGTAACTTCCTCTTTAAAGGTATTTTATTGCCCTGGGTTTGACCATGTGGTAATTCCCCATTTTGGCCCCTTTCCTTCTGCCTTTGTCTTCCTTCCAGTGAGGACACATTTTGCGATTCTTCGGGCAAAATGTAGCTGCATGGATATTTTTGATAGCTTATCCTTTTACCATCCTTAGAATGTTAGCTTAGTCAGTCAGTTAGCTCCAAGACCTTTTCTCTCTAGAATGGATTTCTTTTTATTCCAATAAACATTTTGAACCTAAACTTGCGACTCTGCAACCCTTTGCCATCATCTATGAATGGAAGCTAATCCTGACTTACCACACGTAAGTTTCTGCTGATTAGGAAGTGTGCTCCTGGCACTAAGCGATATTTTTAGTGGAATCACCCCAAGTGAGGGTTATTTATCAGTCTGACATTTCTCGCAACAGTTTTGTTGCGAAGTATCTGAATATAATAAAGAATATGTGTGTGTTATGAAGTGTCCAAAATTTCTTTATTGTGTGAACTCTTTGAAAATTGGAAAAATGTGAAAAACCATTCTAATATCAATCAGCAATTGGAAAATGTTGTGAACTTTCAATCAAATGGGTGACTTGAAATAAAATATGGCATCTGTATCTGTGTGGGATAGCTTCATGAACTTACTCTGGAAACTGGAAATTGGATAATAATGAATGACATCTATCATGGAGAATCCAGAAAATTCTTTTTTAAAAATATAATTTTTATTAAACAGAATTTTCTGTTACCATATAAACAATAAAAATAAATAAATAATAGATTGGGCGGAAAGGGAAGGGAAAAGGGAAGGGGGACAAAAAAAAGAAAAGGAAAGGAAAAAAGGGGGAGGAGAGGGTGGAAAGATGGCGATGGGGGTAAGTATTGATTTCCATTCTTTTTTCTAACGGTCAGTTTCTTTTTCACATGGAGGACCTAGACAATCCTGAAAGATGCCATATATTGTTGGATGTGCACTGGTGGATCGATAGTCTTGGTCCTATGGGCAAGGGTTTCATATTATAAATTATAATGTATGTTCCTAATCTCAGTGTTGAGGCTCAAAAAATAACCCTCACCTGGTGTGATTCCACCATAAATATCGCAGAATACCAGAAGCAAACTTCATAACCAGCAGAAACTTACATGTGGTGAGCCAGGATAAGCTTCCATTCAACAGGAAGGCACAGGATTGCAGACTTTAGGTTCCACATATTTATTTGAAGTAAAAAGGAATCCATTCTAGATAGAAAAGGTCTTGGAGCTAACTAGCTTACTAAAACTCATATTCTAAGAATGGTAAAAGGATAGAAAGCCAAAAATATCTATGCAGTTAAATTTTGCCTGGAGGGAGGCAAAATGTGTCCTCACTAGAAGGAAGAAAAGGCAACAATGGAGGATGACCATAAGGCCAAACCCAAAGCAATAAAAATACTTAAAGAGAAAGTTACTTCATACTTTCTGGGATAAGCAGAAGTATTGGGTTGTGGCACAGCTAGTTAGTAGCCAGCTGCATTAAATCACTATTGACCAAGAGGTCATGAGTTTGAGCCAGCCCGGGTTGGAGCGAGCTCCCAAATATTAATAGTCTAGCTTGCTGTTGCCCTATACAGCCCGAAAGACAGTTGTATCTGTCAAGTACGAAATTTAGGTACCCTTTTATGCGGGGAGGCTAATTTAACTAATTTACGACACCACAAAAACTTCCAGCAGCATGCGGAAGAATGAGGAAATACTCCATCAAAGGACTCGGTGTCACAAGTGAAGCGGCAGTGCCTGTGGTTGGAATAGAGCATACCCTCATGATGCCGGAAAAGCTGGAATGTTAAATTGCCTCTGTGTCTGTCTACAGATGTTGTATGTCTAATGGCATCGAATATTTGCTATGTATATGTGCATTGTAATCTGCCCTGGTCCCCTGCAGGGTGAGAAAGGCGGAATATAAATACTGTAAATAAAGTAAATAAATAAATAAGCATGCATAGGAATGTGGAGGGAGGAGTCCCTCAGTCGAATCCTATCTCTAATCTAGCTATTCATTGAGGTCTGGAGACTTGATGACACAAGAGACTTATGCAGTCCAGGGATGAAACCCAACACTCAGAATACTTGCACAACAGTAAGGATTAGTATCAGATTTTGTTGGTTTGCCTCATGTTTTCTATGATGTTCTCAAAGAGTAGGGACTCACCTGCCAGAGTGGAACAACCCCAAGTTTCAGACAGTTTCCCCCTTTTTTCTGCTTTAATCTGTCTAAAGAAAGATTGTGCAGTGCTTTGGCCACCACAAAAACTGCTTTGCAGATACTGTAACTCAGGGGGCTCATGTTCATCTCAAAATGGGATACAGAGGGACCATCCAACTTCTCCCGACCAGTGCATGGCCTGTGTTGTAGTTTTGCAGGCAGAGAGTAGGGAGGAAACAAGTTGCAGTTGAATACTTGGCTCCAGAAACTCTTAATGAAAACATCATCAGGATATTTGTTCAGAGTCACAGACTGGAGAAAATATCGGAATCCTGGAATCTCTTTTTGATGGGAAGCTAAGGATAGGGCACCAGAGAACTGTCCTGCATATATATACGGATTACCATCCCACTTTGCCGTGGTCAGCCACATTTTCCCTCCCAATATCTCATTTGTGTGCCAGTACACGTTTTCGAGGAAGTCGGCATCGCCATAGACAAATACCACTTTGCATGATGACCTCCTCAGCTCTCGTTTTCTCCCATCCTTTTCATCCAAAAATAGTAAAACATTGCGGATGAAAAAGAGAAATTCATGGCAGATCCCATTCTTCTCCATTTCCCTTTTTAGTTTATGCATGAGGTTTTCACTTCTGTCATAAGATGGGGCAATAAATCCAATCCAAGTCCAATCAAAGTGAAGAAGCAACTGGATTATGCCCACAAAATGAAGTTCATCACTTGAATATATTTGAATAAAGGAGGGAAGTTCAATTTGATTGTCTAAGATAGAGTCAGAGGAACCATAACCGATCTGTGGAAACAAAGAATGGTGTAGCAAGAATTCAGCAAGTTGTCTATTGCTTTGATTAAAACATAGACTAGGAATGCATCTACACTGTAGAATGAATGCATTTTGATGCCACTTCAACTGCTATGGCTCAGTACTATGGAAATTTTAGTTTTAGGTTTCCAGCCTTCTAAGCCAAAGCAGTGGTATCAAACCGCATTAATTCTATAGTGCAGATACATCCTAAGATTTGGAAAATCTAAGTTGTAGTCTCCATCTGAGACATGAAACTGGGTGAGGAAACTTGGAAGAGTGAATCTGTTTCAAATTGACATGCATCACAGGATGGTGGTAGGAAAGAGAATAATAATAATAATAATAATAATAATAATAATAATAATAATAAATTTATTTATACCCCACCTCCATCTCTCCCAAGGGGACTCGGGGCGGCTTACATGAGGCCATGCCCATTGATACAGTAAACACAGTATAACACAAAAGCATAACAGAAAATCAGAAAATAAAATACATAAGATGCAAAACCAATATAATAAGCGACACAACAATATAAAATCAAGCATTAAAACATAAATGATTACACTTGGCAGGGAAATGTAGATATCGCAGCAGACAAAAGACAGGTCATTAAAAAAAACCCTCTGGATCACAAGATTTTTAAAGTTTTCTTCTATGACCTGAATGTTTATAGTAGAAACAGGTTTTGAGTGCCAGATTTAAACATTTTTTCTTAAAGCAAAATCATGGAGCACCTAAGGAGCTCAAGATAGCAAAACCAATACAGCGGAGCCCCCAGTGGTGCAGTGGGTTAAACTGCTGAGCTGCTGAGCTTGTTGACTGAAAGGTCACAGGTTTGAATCCAGGGAGCGGCGTGTGATTCAGTTGTTAGCCCCAGCTTCTGCCAACCTATCAGTTCGAAAACACGCAAATGTGAGTAGATCAATAAGTACGGCTCTGGCAGGAAGGTAACGGCGCTCCATGTAGTCATGCTGGCCACATGACTTTGGAGGTGTCTACGGACATGGAGAAATGGAGATGAGCACTAACCCCCAGAGCAGGACATGACTGGATTTAATGTCAAGGGAAAACCTTTACCTTTACCTTTTTAAACCAGTCTAGTTGTGTTCTCACAACAATCCTGTGAGGCATTTATCTTTCAAACTGAAGTCCAACATTTCTACTTAAAATAGTACTCAACATAAGAGACAATAAAACAATACACTACACAATACAAGAAATAAATAAATTCAAAACACTCATAAACACACAATCAACAAATAAGCAGCATCTGTCAGTGAAACCTACTTCAGGGAATAATTTACTTGAAAAGTCAGAAGCTTATGTGAATAAAAATATATTTTGCTAGTGATTCAAAGACTTCAGTGTTTTTTCTCAGAAGGGAACTCAAGAGTCCAGGAGTCAAAAACAAGATGTTCTCCTTCTTTATTATCATTTAATGTGCCTACAGAATACTAGAATGCCTGGGAGATCACCTTTTCAAAATAATACTAAAGCTTAAACTGATTCGTTGGTCTATCTCCAATGTGCAGATTGTAGGCCAGAGAGGACTCGTTGGTCCTATTAAGAACAAGCACTTCTGAAATTGTGTGCTTCATTCCTCAAAAGGGTCTCAATGCATTTTGGGTCCTGCAATAATGCTGGATACTATAGCTGTATTCTGCTCTTCTCTGCAAGGTCGTGCAGAAGCTCAACATCAGCATCTCTCCATAGGTTTCATTTTCAGATGAAGCTGAAAGGGAATATAGAAATGTCCTTAGTCTCACCTGTGGTATCTTGTAGATCCCCAGCATGTTGGCCACCTGAACAGATGACTCTGATGTCTGGGCCCCAATGACAGCCACCATTTTCCTTTTGCTTTGACAATGGTAATTGGGAAATATTTTGACTTTCTTTGTATTCATGTTGTCATAAGATGACTGACCATAAGCATAGGAGAGCCCATTTCCATAGAACGGAAGATAAACTGGAGCGAGCTTGTCCCTCTCAGACAGTAGGCTGATGACATTCTCATAGGTTTGACTTCCACTGTAATAGTTGTCATACAGGCGAAATCCCAGAGAAATGTTGGGTAAGAAATTGGGATCCTTGTTGATTTCCTCCACAGCAAATACAAATGCCAGGATGTGCTGGTAGTTCTTTAGTTCTGGGCTGTGGAGACAGAGAGAAAAGCGAAGCATTTCATATGCAACACACAGGCTTATATTTTTATGGTTAGTTCCACCTTCAGAAGACCTATGCATAGGTAAATTTCATTGAGTGACAGATCTTCTCTAGACAGAAATATTAATAGGACTTGGGCAATAGAAGGCTGGTCTGCTACCACAGACACAGGATGAAGAAATCCAAGAACTTCTAACTAAATGACTTTGATTAGAGCTGTAAACATAGAAATGTAAAGAAACACAGCTGAATGGCACTAAAGCAGCATTTCTCAACCTGGGGGTTGGGACCCCTGGGGGGGGGGGTCACAAGGGGACGTCAGAGGGGTTGCCAAAGACCATCAGAAAACACAGTATTTTCTGTTAGTATGGGGGTTCTGTGTGCCAAGTTTGGCCCAATTATATTGTTGGTGTTCAGAATACTCTTTGATTGTAGGTGAACTATAAATCCCAGTAAGTACAACTCTCAAAGGTCAAGGTCTATTTTCCCCAAACTCCACCAGTGTTCACATTTCAGCATATTGAGTACTCGTGCCAAGTTTGGTCCAGATCCACCATTATTTGAGTCCACAGTGATTTTTGGATGTAGGTAAACTACAACTCCAAAACTCAAGGTCAATGCCCACCAGCATTTTCTGTTGGTCATGGGAGTTCTGTGTGCCAAGTTTGATTCAGTTCCATCATTGGTGGAGTTCACGATGCTCTTTGAACTATAAATCCCAGCAACTACAACTCCCAAATGACACAATCAATCCCCCACCCAACCGCACCAGTATTCAAATTTGGGCGTATCAGGTATTTGTGCCCAGTTTGGTCCAGTGAATGAAAATACATCCTGCATATCAGATATTTACATGATGATTCATAACAATAGCAAAATTACAGTGATGAAGTAGCAACAAAAGTAATTTTATGGTTGGGGTCACCACAACATGAGGAACTGAATTAAGGGGTCACAGCATTAGGAAGGTTGAGAACCACTGCACTAAAGGATTAGAAATCTTTTAATGTAAGCAAAAGGTCAAAGTTAGAAAGAACTTTAAAGGCTCAAAGTAATTGCTAGACACTCGATCTCTGTAACCAGGGCTGGTATTTAATTTTGGCCACCAATGGCTTAGGTTTTTTTTCCTTCTAAAAGTCTTTGAACAAAATTATTCTTTTTTGAATTAACTGGTCTCAGCACTCCAAATTGTTGGAGTGTTGACCACAACCTGTTGTCAACACTCCAAATGGTTAGCACCTCGTCTGTCACTACCCTTCCATTTTATGTGTATCGACTGAAAGATTAATCTTGCCTCCACAACAGATTGACACAAAAGTTCAGGGCTGAGTAACATTGGACTAGGGAATTTGTGGAACGTGAGAATCACAAACTGGAAAACACACTATACAATCAGGAGCTATAACATCTAGTCTGGCTAACAGGTCAAAGGTTCAGAGTGACTGGGTTGTTGTGAGTTTTCCAGCCATGTTCCAGAAACATTTTCTCCTGACGTTTTGCTGCATCTATAGCAGCCACCCTCAGAGGTTGTGAGGTCTGTTGGAAATGAGGAAAGTTGGATTTATATATCTAGGCTGGTATTTAATTTTGGCCACAAATGCCTTAGGGGTTTTTTTTCTTTCTAAAGCTATTTGAACAAAATTATTTTTATATCCATATTAGTTAAAATTAACTGCTGTCAGCACTCCAAATTGTTGGCAACATTATTCTTGTATAAACGTCTTCTCTTAATTTGAGCAGCCTGTTGTCAACACTCCAAATTGTTAGTACCCTAGGTTCTTGTGGGTTTTTTCGGGCTATAGGGCCATGTTCTAGAGGCATTTCTCCTGACGTTTCGCCTGCATCTATGGCAAGCATCCTCAGAGGTAGTGAGGTCTGTTGGAATTAGGACAATGGGTTTATATATCTGTGGAATGGCTGGGGTGGGGCAAAGAGCTTTTCCCTGCTGGAGCTAGGTGTGAATGTTTCAACTGACCACCTTCATTAGCATTTGAAGGCCTGGCTGAGCCTGGGAAAATCTTTTGTTGAGAGGTGTTAAGATGTGCCTGGTTGTTTCCTCTCTGCTGTTTTGCTGTTGTAGTTTTAGAGTTTTTTAATACTGGTAGCCAGATTTTGTTCATTTTCATGGTTTCCTCTTCTTTCTGTTGAAATTGTCCACATGCTTGTGGATTTCAATGGCTTCTCTGTGTAGTCTGACATGGTGGTTGTGGTCCAGCATTTCTGTGTTCTCAAATAATATGTATTGTCGAGAGGAAACAACCAGGCACATCTTAACACCTCTCAACAGGGGATTTTCCCAGGCTCAGCCAGGCCTTCAAATGTTAATGAAGGTGATCAGTTGAAACATTCACATCTAGCTCCAGCAGGGAAGAGCTCCTTGCCCCACCCCACCCCACTACCTCTGAGGATGCTTGCCATAGATGCAGGCGAAACGTCAGGAGAAATGCCTCTAGAACATGGCTCTATAGCCCGAAAAAACCCACAAGAACCTAGTGATTCCAGCCATGAAAGCCTTCGACAATACAATGTTAGCACCGTGTTTATCACTACCTCTCCATTTTATATGTATCAGCTGAAAGATGAATCTTGCCTCAACAATTGATTAGCACAAAAGGTGTGGGCTGAGTGTCATAGGATCTGGTACTTTTGTAGAAAGTGAGAATCTCAAATTGGAATACACAATATACAATCAGGGGCTATAACGTCTAGTCTGGCTAACAGGTCAAACACTCAGAGTGATGATTATATATGAATCAAAGTGCCAAAAGTTGGCTTCCCAAGACTCTGGCTGGGTCTACACTGTCATATCATGCAGTTTTAAATGATAGTGTAGATCCAGCCTCTGCTTCAGACTTCTCTATGTAGTGTCAAAATATTTACTATCTCAACCAGCTAATAAGAAACAGAATTCTTACACTGTTGGAAGCTTGTATGGAGAAATTTCCTCAGGACGTCCTTCGTAATTTTGCCATGGAATAGTTTGGTGAGCTAAAGATAACACACCACCAAGAATGAGATCCCCATCTTTGTAGTAGCCTTCTGCATAGGATCTGTCCAGATTACACCGTGTCTCTGTCTTCTTGCCTACTACGTGGGGTAAAAGTAATATGATGAAGATCAGGAAAATCATGACAGAAGCAGGTGATGATTCTTCAGATTTCATCTCTAGACAGATTCTTATTTTCAGAGTGCTTCTGCAATAGATGTTTCAAAAAAGAGTAATACTGACACTAGACCAATCTGCAACAGCTCACTATATCTTTAAAGTGGAACTCAGTTCTGAATAACATAGTATTTATAAGGGATCTGCCTATGATCTCAGTCCTATCTGGGATAATCTTTTTTTCTTCACATATTTGTAAAGTGTGTTCAGAGTGTTACTTCTAACACAGAAAGAAATCCCGATAACAATCATTTCACTGTTCCCCAGGCAGATGCTGATTCCAAACATCTCATTTTGTGTTTTGCAGTTCCCTGGTGTTACTCACCTACAATGGACTATTTCAGTGTTTCAAGACAATAACATTTTTCAGAACTTCCCACTTGTGTAAGTTTTTGCCTCATTGCAAAACCTAAGAAACTTTAAAGAACACCTTCTAAATACTGAATATTCCCTTGCTACTTTGTGGTTCGCTTTTCCCGGACTCGCTTTTTTGCGGTTTTTCAATAAATATGAATTTAAAATATATGTCTGATATCTGTGAGGACCCCCACATGGATTTGGTGGTCACGGTTGGTTAAAATAATCCCCTCTGATGCCATGTTTCCCATCGCAGCCACCGGAAGGTGAAGAAGGCACATGTGAGACGGGAATGGGGGTGGGGGAGGAGGGGGAGTGGGAGGGGAGGGGGAGCCAGGCACATCAGGAGGAACCAGTGGGAAGTGTGTGGTGCAAGGGAAAGGAGGGAAGGAAGAGGAAAGAGAGAGGGGAAAGAGGGACTGAATGAGAGAGAGGGGGGGAGAGGGGAAGAGTGGAGTGGACAGAATGGGGGGTGCCTGGCTCAACAGCAGTACATGTGAAAAAGATATTGGAGTCCTTGTGAACAACAAGTTAAAGATGTGCCAACAATGTTATGCAGCAGCTAAAAAAGCCAATGAGATTTTGGCCTGCATCAATAGGAGTATAGTATTAGGGAAGTCATGCTATCCCTCTATTCTGCCTTGGTCAGACCACACCTGGAATACTGTGTCCAATTCTGGGCACCACAATTGAAGGGAGCTGTTGACAAGCTGGAATGTGTCCAGAGGAGGGTGACTAAAATGATCAAGGGTCTCGAAAACAAGCCCTATGAGGAGCGGCTTAAAGAGCTGGGCATGTTTAGCCTGAAGAAGAGAAGGCTGAGGGGAGACATGATAGCCATGTATAAATTTGTGAGGGGAAGTCATAAGGAGGAGGGAGCAAGGTTCTTTTCTGCTGCCCTGGAGATTAGGACACAGAACAATGGCTTAAAAGCACAGGAAAGGAGATTCCACTTGAACATTTGGGAAGAACTTCCTAATGCTGAGAGCTGTTCAGCAGCGGAACTCTCTGCCCCAGGTGCCTTCTTTGGAGGCTTTTACGCAGAGGCTGAATGGTCATCTGTCAAGTGAGAATTAAAGATCTCCTATACAGGCAGGACCCAAGTTGGAGATAACTGTGTTACTATGAAGTTAGAAATTTTGATTTAAGGAGCAAACACATCAATGGTTTGGGAAAGAAAGCTTTATTGTAGGAACTCCATTCTAAGATTGGAAAGTTACTTAGGGTGCTTATCTGACTTACATAAATCTTGGAAGGTCGAGTAAGGACTCATGGGAAGGAGTAGAGGTGGAGGAACATTTCTAAGTAGAACGACAACACCCCCTGTGGCCAGAACTGAGCACAGCGTCAAGATGCTGAAGATGGCATCTTGGTGCTGTATATATCTCTATGTATCGATGTTTGTCTTGTCAGTGTATAACAGCATTGCATGTTTGCCATATATGTGTTCTGTGATCCACTCTGAGTCCCCTTTGGGCGTGAAGGGCAGAATATAAATGCAGTAAATAAAATAAATAAAATAATATTGTCCCCTGGGGGACTGGGGCACTAGAATAATCCAGATGGGAAATAGTGGCCTGGATTGCAATTGGTGGGCACTGAATAAATATAAGGGAGCAGTGGAAACACAAAGAAGAGAGAAAATTTTGAAAAAACTATTCATGCATGTTTCATCTAAATGTATAAGACAGAGCTGATTATTTTATTTGTTGATGAACACACAAAATGTACATTATAATCAATCAGTAGAGAAGTCCACCAGCAGGTCTTCAGAAGCAAGTATTGGCAGTTGAAATTGCTGTGCATTGTTGGGAAGTCCAGCATGCATTAGCAGGACTATTTACGTGTAATGATTAATTAGGTAAAGGTAAAGGTTTTCCCCTGACATTATGTCTAGTCGTGTCTGACTCTGCTCATCTCCATTTCTAAGCCAAAGAGCCAGCATTGTCCGTAGACTCTAAGATTATGTGGCTGGCATGACTGCATGGAGCACTGTCAACTTCCTGCTGGAGCAGTACCTATTGATCTACTCACATTTGCATGTTTTCAAACTGCTAGGTTAGGAGAAGCTGTGGCTAACAGCTGGAGCTCACCCTGCTCCCCAGATTTGAACTGACAACTCTTCTGTCAGCAAGTTCAACAGCTCAGTGGTTTAACCAACTACGCCACTGGGGGCTCTGTAATGATTAATTACAATACTATAAATAGGTGACATGTATGAAATCTATTTTAGATTCTTTTTTAATGTTGTGACAAGCAGTTAAATAAGTTTGACATTGCATCTTTCTGTTTGTTTGCTTAAAGAAGATAGATTTTTGAGAGGATGGGTATTTTGTTCTGAAAGTAGTCCAAATATGTTTAAGAACTTCTGGTCTAGAATATGAATGCTATAGAAATCTGTTCCCCAAATGGTTTCAGCACCTTGGACAGCATCTGTGAAGTTCAAACTGAGGCCCCATCTCTATACTGCTATAAAATGCCATTTAACTTCCTTGAATTGCATTACAGGCAGTCCCCAAGTTATGAACAAGATAGATTCTGGGTTGCTGTGAGTTTTTGGGCTGCATGGCCATGTTCCAGAAGAACACTACCATACATCCTGGAAAACTCAAAGCAACCCAGTGATACCGGCCATGAAAGCCTTTGACAACACAAGATAGGTTCTGAAGGTTTGTTCTTAAGTTGAATGTGTATATAGATAGATAGATCTGTTTATTGATTAGTCAACTGACCATATCAACAATAAAAGACAAAAAATATACAGACAAATAGATACCAATCATTATCCTAAAACTCCTCTAATAGTTAACTAAAATAAATTAAAACACAATAAAACTTGATTAAATAATACGTTTGGTAAAAGGGGATTAAATTACAAGATGAAAGCAGGAAGAGTAGACTGATGAGTGTAAAAGAATCAGTCAGAGAATTTAGATAATTTCATTGCCATGACAAGAGACCCCATTTTTTGAGATAAAGAGATCTCTCAGGTGGGCAGCTTTTATAATCAATTTGGCTTTTTTTTCATATCAGGAGCTGCTTGAGAAACTGCAAGTTGCTTCTAGTGTGAGAGAATTGGCTGTCTGCAAGGACGTTGCCCGGGGGATGCCCAGATGTTTTGATGTTTTACCATCCTTGTAGGAGGCTTCTCTCATGTCTCTGCATGGGGAGCTGGAACTGACAGAAGGAGCTCATCCGCGCTCTCTTTGGATTTGAAGCTCTGACCTGTCATTCTTCAGTCCTCCCAGCATAAGGATTTAACTCATTGCACCACTGGGCTATGGATCTAAGTGTAGATTCTCCCCAGAAAGAAAATAAGACATTTTTACAGCTGAATTTATATGTAAGTTTGAACACATACATAGAAAAAACAATACAGCTTTGCTGCTGCAAGATTAACCATAGGCAAAGCCTGGAAAGGGGGAAAGGTTTACTTAAAAAAAGGGTTAGAGGGAAAGAATGTGGGAATATATGCTAATGGCCAAATTAACCAATAATTGGAGGAACAAAAGTAATGAGGACGTTTTGGAAAAGTGGAAGTTGGCCATGGCATATCTGAGTGGAGAGTCAGTGACATAGAGGAGCACCATTAGGAATTTAGGATTAGGCTATGAACAAGGATAGATAGATTGGCTTAAAGGCTTCATAGTGCTTCAGTGTCAGAAGTCATGGTGAAGGCTGCATGGGTGTGGGGAAGAGATTTTATTTTGTGTGGGATGTGGGTTTCGAGTGTGTGAATGGTTTGTAATAGGTTGTGTGCTGTTGTCTGAATGTTATGGGGTTTTTTTTGTGTCAGGGGCGACTTGAGAAACTGCAAGTTGCTTCTGGTGTGAGAGAATTGGCTGTCTGCAAGGACATTGCCCAGGGGACTCCCAGATGTTTTTGATGTTTTATCATCCTTGTGGGAGGCTTCTCTCTTGTCCCTGCATGGGGAGCTGGAGCTGACAGAGGGAGCTCATGAGAGAAGCCTCCTACAAGGATGATAAAACATCAAAAGCATCTGGGAAACAGCCCCAGATGTGGCCCAAAACAAAGGAGACTTTAGGTCATTCCAATAGTGAACCTCCGGCGCCGGCAGGYCTGAAGACCAACASGTCGCAGGTTTGAATCRGGTGAGAGAGCATTGAGCTCCCTCTGTCAGCTCCAGCTCCAGCTCCCCATGCGGGAACATGAGAGAAGCCTCCCACAAGGATGGTAAAACATCAAAACATTGGGCATCCCCTGGGCAATGTCCTTGCAGATGGCCAATTCTCTCACACCAGAAGCATTTCTCAAGTCGCACCTGACAGGAAAAATAATTGTAATAGTAGGGTTTTGGGACAGATGTTCTGTGTGTTTCCTTACTGAATACACAAGATATGTAGCAAGGAAATATTTGAAATAATATAGAGTGTCATCTTCTTTCTACAGCCTATTATTGATTCTAAAATCACTAATTGCATTATTGAACCAATGGGGAAACTAACAAGGTTTGTTTCTCTGTCATTTTTATGGCTATCAAAATGAAACTTGCCCTACTTGTAGAATGTTTTGGTCATCCACTGAGTTTTAGGGACTTACAAATATATTTTTTAAACAAGCTAAAAGGGGTATCCCCTTGTATATCTCCACAGGGACAAAACACAAGAAGGGAATAATTCCTGCAAGGTTTTAGAAAGATCTGGTCATCCACTGATTTTTAGGAAATTGTAAAAGTTCTTACATATATATATAATAGTAGCTAGCAGGTTGTTGTGTGCTTTCCGGGTTGTATGGCCATGTTTCAGAAGCATCCTCTCCTGATGTTTCACCTGCATCTATGGCAGGCATCCTCAGAGGTAGAGGGGTCTTCCATAGATGCAGGTGAAACATCAGGAGAGAATGCTTCTGGAACATGGCTATATAGCCCAAATGCTCCAAATCAACTAATTTCTCCAAAAGTTTCAAGACATTCTGTTTTGATTCATTAATAATTTGGGTTGGGCCCTTCCTGCATTGTAGTTTGGGGGTTTGTATTTCCAAAATACCCGAATTTCACACACCTCTACTCATTAGCATTTTTTAAATCCATGGAAACGTTTGCTGGTTACATGTGCTTTCTGGTTCTTATTTGGGTAGAGTAGAATAATATAACATTTTGGGAAAAATATGCAACCAAGTAACCCAGCACTAGAGGCCAATATAGAGAAGATCACCACAGTCACCGCATATTTCCCACTGGGGCTGAAATAGACTGGGATGACGGATATCCAGACAGTGCAGAAAACCAACATGCTGAAAGTGATGAACTTGGCTTCATTGAAGACATCAGGCAGCTTCCTGGCAAGAAAAGCCACAATGAAGCTCACCAAAGCTAAAAGACCCAAGTAGCCCAGAGTGGAGTAGAGTGCAGCGGGTGAGCTCTCATTGCACTCCAGGATGATGTGTCCAGGTTCTGTGTAGAAATCAGCATCTGGGAATGGAGGGGAGGTGCCCAACCAGACCATGCAAATCACAACCTGAATAAGAGAACAGACCACTACAAAGAAGTATGAAAGTCTAGGTCTCAGCCATTTCCGTGCACCACTGCCTGGTTTTGTGGCCTTGAAGGCCAGAATCACAGTGATGGTTTTAGCCAAGACTGTAGCAAGAGAGACAGAGGAAATGATCCCAAAGGCTGTCTGCCGAAGAATGCAGATTGTTTTACTTGGTCGTCCAATGAAGAGCAAAGAGCAGAGGAAGCAAAGTATGAGGGAAGAGAGGAGGACATAGCTGAGTTGCCGGTTGTTGGCTTTAACTATTGGAGACTCTCTACATCTGATAAAGTTTCCAAGCACCACAGCAGACAAGAATGAAAAAAATACTGCAGTGAAAGCTAATGTGATTCCCAAAGGTTCCTCATAGGATAAGAAGATTATGCTTTTGGGGATGCACTTATTTCTTCCTTTGTTTGGGTAGTGATCCTTGTTGCATTCCACACAATAATCTATATCTAGAAAACACAGATCAGAGGACACTTTCATCTATTGGTCTTTGGACACTTTTCTTAATGGAAATATTGTCAATATGTTCAAAGTCTATGTACAGAATAGTTTATTAAGTCATGTGGCATCATAACATGCTAGCAACACCTACCTGTCTTGTTGGATATTTTTCCTCTAGGACATTCTTTGCAGTGGAAACAACATTTGGGTTTGCCCTTCAAAATTATCTTCTGGAAGCCTGGTGAACATTTATGGCTGCACACAGAATGCAGTGGCTATGCAGATTCAGTGAGAAAAAAATATTAAAGTAAATATAAAACAATCATTCTTCTACAGCATTTTAAATTCAAACCACTTCTATAATAACCTATCCATGTACAAGCTTTTTCTGAGTGTTTTGATGAGATAAATATATAATGATGAAATAAAAGACAGGTCTATGTGTTATTGAAGGCTTTCATGGCTGGAATCACTGGGTTGTTGTGTGTTTTCCAGGCTCTATGGCCATGTTCCAGAAGCATTCTCTCCTGATGTTATGCCAGCATCTATGGCAGGCATCCTCAGAGGTTGTGAGGTCTGTTGGAAACAAGGAAAATTGGGTTTATATATCTGTGGAAAGTTCAGGATGGGAGAAAGAACTCTTGTCTGTTGGAGGTAGATGTGAATGTTGCAACTGGCCACCTTGATTAGGGTTTTTAGTGGCCTAGCAGTTTTCAAGGTCTGGCTGCTTCCCCCAAATCCTTTGTTGGTAGGTCATTAACTGGCCCTGAATGTTTTTTGTCTGGAATTCTCCTATTTTTGAGCATTGCTCTGGTAGCTAGATTTTGTTCATTTTCATGGTTTCTTCCTTCCTGTTGAAATTGCCCACATGCTTGTGGGTTTCAACTGCTTCTCTGTGTAGCCTGACATGGTAGTTGTTAGAGTGGTCCAGCATTTCTGTGTTCTCAAATAATATGCTGTGTCCAGGCTGGTTCATCAGGTGCTCTGCTATGGCTGACTTCTCTGATTGAAGTAGTCTGCAGTGCCTTTCATGTCCCTTGATTTGTGTTTGGGCAATGCTGTGTTTGGTGGACCCTATGTAGGCTTGTCCACAGCTGCATGGTGTACGGTAGACTCCTGCAGAGGTGAGAGGATCCTTCTTGTCCTTCGGTGAACATGGTCCTTTGCTGAATGTGGGATTTTTTTAGTGGGCCTGTAGGTAGTTTTTACGTTGTGTTTCTTCATCAGCTTCCCTCTGTGGTCAGTGGTTCCCTTGATGTATAGCAAACACACTTTTCCTCCGGGACAGGTCCTTTTCTTTGGCATTCTGAACACTGAAATTCCTTCTTTGAGGACACTTCCTGAGCACAACTGTTGTAAGCTTTTCAAAGGCACCATTAAAATATTACATAGATACATGGAATCATAGTCAGAATTGGAAGAGACCTCATGGGCCATCCATTCCAACCCCCTACCAAGAAGCAGGAAAATTGCATTCAAATTTTCATCCATCCAGCCTCTGCTTAAAAGCCTCCAAAGAAGGAGCCTCCACTACACTCTAGGGCAGAGAGTTCCACTGCTGAACAGCTCTCACAGTCAGGAAGTGCTTCCTAAAGTTCAGGTGGAATATCCTTTCCTGTCGTTTGAAGCCATTGTTTGAAGCTTCATTTGATATGGAATTGTAGTTGAGTTCTAACATTGCTTTTTAGTTGTGCTGGTTAGAGGATAACTGCTTTTTGTTTTTTGTTTTTTACAGCGCTGATATTTGTGCATTATATTTTCAGGTTGTTTGAATAATTTGATATTTCTATTCCACCCAAAGCTGACGTTTGCTGGTGAGAGACAGTTTGTGCCGTCGCGCCTGGGGGCTATTATTCTTAATAAAGGAGGGATGGACGTGGCATCTTTCCCCCAGGGGATTGCTTCTTGCCCTCCTATAGGAAACTGGAACTCCCAAAAACCCAAAACGCTGTAAATAGCTCAAGATAAGTTTTATTTATCACAAAGTCATTTCTTAAAAGCAATGAGCTGGAAAACTTTAGAGGGGCGAAGGAAAACATACATTACAGTCTCAATCAGTCCTGGGTCCAAGGGGTTGGAAGCTGAGAAGCCTCACCAAGTTTCCTCTTTCCTCAATGTCTGTGAATGCCGGAGCAAACCACAACCCCAGTTCAGATGGCCTATGTCTTGAAGATTCAGGATCTTCCTTTGGTGCCAAAAGAACCGGCTTGAAGGCGCCTGGGTCTCCTCAATAATTGTCCAGGACGATCTGGACATAAAGCATGAGTCCCAGGGGTAAAAAACCTCAGAACTGGTGGTAAGAGGTAACTTAAATCAGGGTCCTTTAGAGTCAGGTCTCTTACGTCCATGTTGCAGGAACTCTGATGGCAGAATGAAGAAAAAAGGAAGTTCTCCCCTCTTGCAGGAAGAGGTGGAGCCAAACAGTATTGATTGACAGCTACAAGCAACCAATCCATACAACTATACATAAACAGGGTAAAAGGGGCAGGATTAAGCATGATACAACACTTTAAATCTTACAACTATACATAGGTGGCACCACTCGCGCCGTCACACAGTTTATGAATTTTAAAATAAACCAAGAAGAACTTATGCCTCATGACTGACCTGGATAAATTTGTTATTCCAGAGGGTTATCTCTTTATGAATAGCAACACTGTGATTCGTTGCAGAGCGAAGGTTCACTTCCCCAACCTTCACACTGAGAAAGGAGTCATTGGGGAACAGGATCCAATTCAAAATATTGTAAGTTGCCATGTCTTCAATCCCATCAAAAATGGCATCCTCCACAGTAGTTTTGTTGCAAAGTATTTTCTTAAGGAACCAGTGCACCTGAATATAAAGGAATATGTGTGTGTTGTATATTATGAAGTGTCCAAAATGTCTTTATTGTGTGAAGTCTTTGAAAACTGAAAAAATGTGGAAAGCCATTATAATATCATTCAGCAAGAAGAACATTTTGTGAACTTTGAATCGAATGGGTGACTTGAAATACAGTATGGCACCTGTATCTGTGTGGGATATCTTCATGAACTTACTCTGGAAACTGGAAATTTCACAATAATAGTGAATGACATCTGCCGTGGAGGATCCAGAAAATTCTTATACATGTATCCTGTCTTGGAATTTCCTAGGTCATCCAGGGTGATTATGTGTAACATGCAGCAGACACGTGGTATAGAAACACCTGAAGGACTTAGATAACCCCAAAAGATACCATATATTGTTGGATGTGCAGAGGTGGATCAGTAGTCTTGGTCCTGTGGGCATGGGTTTCATATTATAAGTTATAATGTATGTTCCTAATCTCAGAATACTTACACAACCATAAGGATTAGTAGAAGATTTTGTTGATTTGCTTCATGTTTTCTGATCCCATTTTCAACATTTGCAAGGGCATTTTAGATGTAAAATTTGAGACCATTTTGCTTGTTATGAGTGACCCCACACACATAACAACAAAAGACTTTTTTATGGAAAAATGAGATAAAAATGCTTCAAAATAAATAAATAAAATTGTCTTTCTTTTAACACACACATTACAATACCACAATGTCTCTCAGCCATTCATTTCTGTTTCAGAGTGTTGTTGTCAAAGAGAAAGGACTCACCTTCCACAATGGGATAATCTCAACTTTCAGGCTATTTCCCCCTTTTTTCTGCTTTGATCTGTCCAAAGAAAGATCGTGCAGTGCCTTGGCCACCACAAAAACTGCTTTGCAGATACTGTAACTCAGGGGGCTCATGTTCATCTCAAAATGGGATACAGAGGGACTATCCAACTTCTCCTGACCACTGCATGACCTGTATTGTAGTTTTGCAGGCAGAGAGTAGGGAGGAAGCAAATTGCAGTTGAATACTTGGCTCCAGAAACTCTTAATGAAAACATCATCAGGATATTTGTTTGGAGTCACAGACTGAAGAAAATATCGGAATCCTGGAATCTCTTTTTGATGGGAAGCTAAGGATAGGGCACCAGAGAACCGTCCTGCATATATATATGGATTACCGTCCCACTTTGCTGTGGTCAGCCACACTTTCCCTGCCAATATCTCATTTGTGTGCCAGTATATCCTTGAGAGAAACTCGATATCACCATAGGCAAACACTACTTTGCATGATGACCTCTTCAGTTCTTGTTTTCTTTGGTCCATTTCAGTGAGATATACTAAAATTTCTTGAAAGAAAATTACAAATTCAGAACAGATCCTATTCTTTTCCATTTCCTCTTTGAATTTATGGAAGAGGCTCCCACTTCTGCCATATGCTGCAACAACAAGTCCAATCCATGTCCACTCAAAGTGAAGAAGCAACTGGATGATACCTACAAGATGAAGTTCATCACTTGAGTTCATCTGATAAAAGGAGGAGGATTCAATTTTATTGTGCACGACAGGATCAGAGGAGCCAAAACTGATCTGTAAACACATAAAGGTTTGTCAGATTCTTTCCAAATAAGTTGGTAAGTCAAGCGTTCTGCAAGGTATCTATTGTGGCTAGATCTTGGCCTGAGCTTGAATCTACACTGACCTAAAACCTGGTGCTGATCCCGTGCACTGGATACTGGACTGTCCCAAGTCTTATCCCCTCCAATAGTCCCTCAGCTGCCACGGAGGTGGAAGGAAGCCCCCACAGCCTAGTGGCACAAACATGGTTTGATGCTGTCTAGCGACCACCTTAATTGCTGATCTCTCATCCTACGTGTTACGGCAGTCTCCATCCATAACATGGATCCTATTTGTTTTCTGTTGCTTGCCATGATGTCACCAGGTAGACACCAGGTAGACAGAACACTAAGGGAGGTAGGAGAGCAAGAACTGCCCTCCCTCCTCTTACTTCATCCTTCCCAGAGCTCCCTATCACTCTGGTGAAGGTAATGTCACACAATGGAGAACAGGTAGGACACATGTTGTGACCAGTGACCAGCACAGCATAGGGCTGAGTGGGGAAGAGGACTGACATCGTATGTCCACAGGGTACCTGAGCCCAGAGAATGTAGGTGGCAGTGGAGACAACTGTGGSCAGTTCTGTTTGGGAACCAGATCAACCCTCCTACAGGCTAAAGCAGTTAAAGTAGTATTAAAAAKTWAAAGGTTTTCCCCTGACATTAAGTCTATTTATGTCTGACTCTGYGGGTTGGTGCTCATCTCCATYTCTAAGCCGAAGAACCAACTTTGTCCATAGACACCTCCAAGGTCATGTGGCCAGCATGACTGCATGGAGTGCTGTTACCTTCCCGCCAGAGCAGTACCTATTAATCTACTCACATTTGCATGTTTTCAAACTGCTAGATTGACAGAAGCTGGGGCTAACAACAGGAGYTCACCCTGCTCCCCAGACTCGAACATGTGACCTTTCAGTCAGCAAGTTCAGCAGCTCAGTACTTTAACCCACTGCGCCACCAGCRGCTCCTCGTGTATAACTGCAATAATTCTACAGTGTAGATGCATCCTGAGACCGAAAATCCAAGTTGCAGTCCCYACTGAGCCATGAAACTGATTGAGGAAACTTGGAAGAATCGCTCTGTTTTAATCTGACTTGCCTTACATGATGCTTATGATAACAATGATTAATTAAAAACAGACACAGATATCACAGCAGATAATAGATCGGTCATTAATGTGCTAATTAAATTCAAAAGAACTCTGGATCACATGATTTTCAGAGTTTGCTTCAATGACCTAAATTTTCACAGTAATAAAACAGTTTTAAAGGCTAGACAACATACATATGTGTAACCAAATTTGTTTCAAGATCTAATTGCATTTAGTATTAATAAAAAAATGTTAAATTTCTCAACATTACATTATATTCATATGCCACAGTTTACTTAAGGAGCTCAAGAAAGCAAAACTCATTCTTCCTAACTAACCAGTCCAGCTGTATTATCACAACAAGCCTGTGAAACATGTCTTTATCTTTCAAATTTTGGTCCAAGCTTTCCATTGCACTTGACATAGCAAACAATAAAACAATACATAACAAATAAATAAGTTCAAAACACAAAAATTTAAATCACCAAATAATCAACATCTACCAGCTATATCAAATTGAGTAAACAATTAAAAAGCTTAAAGCTTATGAGAATAAAATATATATTTGTCTAGTAGTGCAAAGATTTAAGATCTATTTTTCTCAGCAGGGGATCCAGAGTCCAGGAGTCATCAATAAAAAGTCCTCCTTTATTTCCATCTAATGTGCCTACATTGTACTGGAAAGTCTGGGAGACAGCCATTTCATAAGAACAGTAAAACATAAGCTAACCAACTAGTATATTTCCAATGTCCTGACTGTCACAGAGGAATTTGTTGGTCGTATTTAGATGACTTGTCCCCAGAAATGGAAAAGCAATTTCTTGGATTTTGTAATTCATTCATTAAAAAACTTGTTGCATTTTTGCACTGCACATATTGGCCATGGATCCTGCAATATTGCTGGATATATTGTTTATAAAGCTATTGTCCTCCCAGCCCTGTTATATCCCTGCGAAACATGGACTGTCTACAGATGTTGCACTCAACACCTTGAACAATTCCATCAGCGTTGCCTCCGAAAAATCCTGCAAATCTCTTGGAAAGACAGGTGGACAAATGTTAGTGTGCTGGAAGAAGCAAAGGCCACCAGCATTGAAGTGATGATCCTACGCCATCAACTCCACTGGACTGGCCATGTTATCTGAATGCCTGATCACAGTCTCCAAAAGCAGTTAAAATACTCCAAACTCAAGAATGGGAAATGTAATGTTGGTGGACAGGAAAAGAGATTTAAAGATGGGCTTAAAGCCAACCTTAAAAACTCTGGCATAGACACAGAGAACTGGGAAGCCCTGGCCTTTGAGCACACTAACTGGAGGTCAGCTGTGACCAGCAGTGCTGCAGAATTCAAAGAGGCACAAATGGAGGAAGAAAGGGAGAAACGTGCCAAGAGGAAGGCACTTCAAGCCAACCCTGATCAGGACTGCCTTCCACCTGGAAACCGATGTCCTCACTGCGGGAGAACATGCGAATCAAGAATAGGGCTCCACAGCCACCTATGGACCCACCGCCAAGACACTGGACTTGGAGGACCATCATCCTCGGGCTATGAGAGATCTCCTAAGTAAGTAAGTAAGTAATATTGCTGGATAGTTGTATTCTATTGTTCTCTATAAGGATGTGCTTATAATAGCTCTGTATTTAAGCAAAACATTACGTTTGAGAACCACATATGTGGAGCTGATCAGGGTAAATTGTAGGGTGATAAGGAAAATATACTCAGTTTCATCATATTTATTTAATATATTGTTCTAAATATCTTGTTTGGTTTGGTATTGTGCTATGGCCTAAGGGCTAATCAAAGAAGAAGAAGAAGAAGAAGAAGAAGAAGAAGAGGAGGAGGAGGAGGAGAAGAAGAAGAAGAAACACAACAAGATGAGTCCACAGCAGACAAGATCTTGGATGGCATTATTATTATTATTATTATTATTATTTATTATTATTATTTTATTATTTGAAACACAACAAGACGAGTCCACAGCAGACAAGATCACTCTAGTGATTATTATTATTATTATTATTATTATTATTATTATTATTATTATTATTATTATTATTATTATTTGAAACACAACAAGATGAGTCCACAGCAGACAAGATCACTTTGCTGGCTGTATTATTATTATTATTATTATTATTTACTTTCAAAGTAAGTAACACACAATTATAATATTACAAGGATGTGCAGAAACTCAACATCAACATCAATGAACATAGGTCTTCACTGTCAGAGGCTGCTGAAAAGGAATATGGCAATGTTCTTCATCCTTACCTGTGGTATCTTATAGATCCCTAGAATATTGGCGATCTGAACAGATGGCTCTGATGTCTGCGCCCCAATGACAGCTACCATTTTCTTTTGGCCTTGGCAATTGTAGTTGGGAAATATTTTGACTTTCTTTGTATTCATGTTGTCATAAGAAGACTGACCATAAGCATAGGAGAGCCCATTTCCATAGAACGGAAGATAAACTGGAGCGAGCTTGTCCCTCTCAGACAGTAGGCTGATGACATTCTCATAGGTTTGGCTTCCACTGTAAGAGTTGTCATAAAGGCGAAATCCCAGAGAGATGTTGGGTAAGAAATGGGGATTCTTATTTATTTTTTCCACAGCAAATACAAATGCCAGGACATGCTGGTAGTTCTTTAATTCTGGGCTATGGAGACGGAGAGGACAGCAAAGCATTTAATATGAAACAAACATAGGCTAGCATTTTTTTTTTGTTAGCCCCAAATTCAGAAGACCTGTTCAATTAATTGGGGATTGATGGCTTAATGCATAAGTGATGAGTCTACTATAGAAAGAAATAACAATAGAAAACTGAACCCTCACATCTGCTATCAAAAATGAAAGATGAAGAAGCCCAATTAATAAGAAATGCTGCACAACTGATTCCAAACTGAGGAACTGGCAACAAAGACATTGATTAATCCTCAAAACGTAGGAGATGGAGAGAAACAAATCTGTGTGACATGAAAAGATTGGAAATCTTTTAATTTAAGCAGGACGTCTAAGTTAGAGAGAATCTTCTAGGTCTCAAGTAGTTGCTAAACACGAGGGCTGTTGTTTAGTTGAATTCATCAATGGCTATGTAAGGCAATAATATTTTATATCAATTTTTAAAAATTACTCTGAATTTTTGTCACATTATCAATTAGTATGCCGATGGTGCAATGGGTTAAACCCTTGTACCGGCAGTACTGAAGACCGACAAGTCTGAGGTTCGAATCTGGGGAGAGCGTGGATGAGCTCCCTCTGTCAGCTCCAGCTCCCCATGTGGGGACATGAGAGAAGCCTCCCACACGGATAATAATGATGATGATGATGATGATGATGATGATGATGATGATGATGATAATAATAATAATAAGGTAGTGGAAAATGAACACGCAAAAATACTGTTTGACTTTCTAATCCAGTCTGACAAAGTTTTGGAACATAATACACCAGACATCACGGTTGTGGAAAAGAAAAAAGTTTGGATTATTGATGTTGCCATACCACGTGACAGTCGCATAGAGGAAAAACAACAGGAAAAACTCAGCCGTTATCAGGACCTTAAAATCGAACTTCAAAGGTTCTGCCATAAACCAGTACAAGTGGTCCCAGTGGTCATCGGCACACTGGGTGCCGTGTCAAAAGATCTCAGCTGGCATTTGGAAACAATAACCATTGACAAATCGCAGTCTGTCAACTGCAAAAGGCCACCTTACTTCGGGAGGGACGCACATGGAGCCACCTTACTTGTATTTGTATGCATCATTAGAAAATACATCACACAGTCCTAGACGCTTGGGAAGTGTTCGACTTGTGATTTTGTGATACAAAATCCAGCGTATAGATCTTTTTTGCTGTGACATACTGTGTTTTTGTGTCAGTAAAATAATAATAATAATAATAATAATAATAATAATAATAATTATTATTATTATTATTATTATATACTGCTCTATCTCCCCTAGGGGAATCAGGGAGGTTTCCATGTAAACAAAATACACAGAAAGCATACAGTGTAAGCAAAACATAAACATAGAATTATCAACACACATATATATATATAAAAAAAAATTTGATCCCATACAATTCTTTGTGCAAATGAGGTGTCAGGGGCCAGAAATTCAGAAAGGGCCTAGGCAATTTCAGAGGGCTGAGGCTAGTGCAAAAGGAAACATGGGGGTCGGGGGAATGGGTAAAGTGCAATGACCAGGTCCCAGCAGTGGTCACAATGAGGCCTGGGCTACTCATTTTCAGGGCCGATTTGAGAACTATGACAGGTCTTAGCCAGGGCAAATACCCTGGAATGACAGAAGTCCCAAGGCAGTGGGGTAGTGGGTAGAGTGCAAGGATGGTAAAACATCAAAACATCTGGACATCCCCTTAGCAACATCCTTGAAGACAGCCAATTCTCTCACACCAGAAGTAACTTGCAGGTTCTCAAATCACTCCTGACACAAAAAAAATAGTATCCCTTCATGTAGACCATCGGGTAGCTGAACCTTTGCCTCAACAGCTGCCTCAGCACGATATTTCTCACTGCATCAAATGGAAGCTGATTAGAACAAAAGGAATTAAGGTACACAAATCAAAGTGTCAATAGTTGCCTTTCTGAGACACTGCTTCAGACTTCTCTTTGAACTTGTTAGAAGGTCTAGTGTCCCTACCAGCTAATAAGAAACTGAATACTTACACTGTTTGAACTGTGTAAGAAGAAATTTCCTTAGGACGTATTTCATAATTTTGCCTTAGAACATTTCGCTGAGACAAAGATAACACCCCACCAAGAATGAGATCCCCATCTTTGTAGTAACCCTCTGCATAGGATCTGTCCTGATCACATACTGACTTTGTCATCTTGCCTGCCATGTGGGGTAGAAGTAATATGACGAAGATCAAGGAAACCATGACAGGAGCATTTCCATGTGATGACTCTTCAGATTTCATCTTCTCATCAGAGGAGTATCACTTTCAAAGTGTTGCTGCACTAGATGTTAAAAGAAAGAATAATAACATGAGACATATCTAATTCTCTGCAACAGCTCACCACATCTATGAAGTGAAACCCGGTTATGAATAACATAGGAGTATTATAAGAGACTTGCAGATTATCTCAGTCTTAACTAGAGGAGTCTTTCTTCTGACATACTTTTAAAATACATCCAGGAACACAGGAACAAATTGTGATAACAGTCATTTTGTTTTTCCCCAGGCAGATTCTAATCCCGGCGCTCTCATTTTGTGCTCATTCCCTGGTGTTACTGACCTAAGATGGACCATTTCAGTGTTTACTTTTGCTTGCAAGGCAACAATATTTTTCAGTACGTCTCATTTGTGCAAGTTTTTCCTGCATTACAAAAGCTTAAAAAAAAAAACACTTTAAAGGACATTTCCCAAATGCTGAATAAATGAAATGCCAAATAGTTTTAACATTTCCAAGCCCTTTACTTATTATTTGTTTTTATCATACATATGAATGGCACCTGGAAACTATAAAAATAGAAGACTTCAGGTGGTATGTAGTTTCAAACTTTTGAACCCCAGAAATGGTTCTGGCCCAGTTTATCTGCCCGAACGTATCTCCCTCTATGAACCACCACAGAGTTTAAGATCATCTGCTCTTGGTCCTGCCTCCCTCGCAGGCGCGATTTGCAGAGACAAGAGACAATGGTGGCCCCTCGGCTCTGGAACTCCCTCCCCAGGGATATTAGACCAACCCTCCTTCCTCCTGACCTCCCGCAAGAGAGTGAAAACGTGGCTTTGTGACCAAGCCTTTAGAAGACTCGTGCAATAGATAGACTTGGAACAATGTGCAATGACCATTGGAACGGCCTGTATTACATTCATGGATTACATTTTTAACTTGGAATTGTATTTTTTAATTTTTTAAATTGTTTTAAATGTACTTTTAATGCTATTTTAATATTTAAGTGTACATGGTGTTTTAAGGTTTGTAAAGCCATCTTGAGTCCCCTCAGGGATGAGAAAGATGGGGTAGAAATGTCGTAAATCTATATAAATAAAAATGTAATGTTCGTTTGTGGAATTAACAAAACTCAAAAACCACTGGATGAATTGACACCAAATTTGGACACAATACACCTACCAGGCCAACGAGTGACCATCACTCATAAAAACACTGGAACACACAGCAGAAGCCAAAAAATAAAACATATATTACAACGCATGTGCAAAACCACATATATATATAAACATATACACAAATATACACAAAAAAACACATATACACAGACTGGGCCACAGCAATGCGTGGCAAGGGGTGGCTAGTAAATTAATAAATAAACTCCCAAAGTTGAGCAGTTCTCATAATACAAGAAACAACAAGAAGTGAGCACATATGAAGATGGGGACAGCATGAATTGGGCGGACCTTGTTGTCTGAAGGTAGAACCCCAAAAAGTGTTGAGATCCAGGAATGACTTCCCACTCCCACCCCTCACTGGGATGATACCCAGTTTAGTTTTGGCTTCCAAACAAACCCTAGCTGAACAACACCGACAACCCCTCTTGTCTTCCCACCACTTTGATTTTCTTCACAAATGGGTGCAGTCACCTCTCCCCGGCCCCCATGATATCAAAGACCTCCAACCCCACCCCTACTAAAACGAAGACATAGTTTGATCAGTGGAAATTGTAGTTTTCCAAGGATGGAGGTCCAGATGAATTGGAAATGGCTCCCGTCCCTTCACCTTTCCTCGAGCCCCTCAAGGACCAGCAGCAGCCCACGCTCCATAGCCCTTGAGTCCCCATATACAGGCTCCCACCCCCGGCTCAGCTGTTTGGCCTGAGCTGGTTTGCTGGAGCAGATCTTGGCTGCATCAGCAGAGATCGCCCAACTGGTCTCTCCCTTCCTCCCATGCCAGGACCAATCCAGATGGCCACAAAGTAACCCAAATCCCTCCATTCACCAGATCCCTGTTACCATGTATGTTGTACTCCAGTGCAGGAACACCTCTGAGTTGAAACACCACACCAGCTTGGTAAAATCAGCAAGCTGTTTATTGTAGAATATATGTAGGCAAAGCAGTAAAAAATAGTACAACAGTAAAAGTCCAAAATCCAAGAAAATCCATAAACTTTAAAAGTAAACCAGGTCCTTTGGTACATAGAAATCCATGGAGCAAGACATTTGAAAACATGGAACAAAACAGAAGGAATTCTCAGACAAAAACTTAGACTTGGCTACAACTTGATACATGAAACATAAAGCACTTGAAAATGAAACCAGCATGAATTAACAACATTGACTCAACTGAGACACTAGTCTCCCATGAATCATTATAAACCCTTTCCAAAAGCTGCAACTGACAGGAAAGCATTCTTTCTCACTTTCCCACTAGGTAATGGTTTGTTATCTTTTTTATTTTTGTTGTAAACGAGCAGAATGCCTCAGATTCTGAAAGCTCTGTCTCTGTTTACTAAAATTTTGCTTTCTGTCCAAGGTTTCACTATCATCACCTTCTGCGCCTGGCAAAGCAATCTCATCATCATTTTCAGGCTGCCGCTCTGAGAAAAGTGGTGAAAATTCTTTCCCAGAAATGTGACCTTTCTTAGGCTTCTCTTCTGAACTTAACTCCAGCCCAGGCAAACTCATATCCTCAGGCTCATCATCAGGAACATCATTCCCATTCCTATTATGCACATCAACATGAACATCATTCTCAACATAAACATCAGACACAATCACAGGCTGAACAGGCTGATATACAACAATGTATCTCTTTCCTTGCTACCATGTATTTTCTCCATATTTCTTTATTTTTCCTTACTTTCTTTTCTGTGAGCATGCACATGAGCAAAGAAGTTAAAATATAACAAAATACTGCAGATGACCCTTTCAGCTTCTGCTCAGCCATGGTGAGACTCCTCTTTCTCCTTTTCACCCATTTTCCATTCTCTATAAGTGGCTTGCACCAAACACCACATCAAGTCTATTCCTTATTTCCATTTATTTTTATTATAATTAAACTCACCACCTTCGCAGGTGTGATTGGTGGAGACAAGAGACAGTGCCTTCTTGGTGGTGGCCCCTCAGCTGTGGAACTCCCTCCCCATTGAGATTCGATCAGCCCCTCCCTCCTAGCATTTAGACAAGGACTGCAGATATGGAGGATCCTGCCTAGTGAGCATTTATGCCAAGACCCAAAGTTTCAGATTAGAGAATACAATCACCAAGATGAAAATGACCTGGCCAGAAAGAATGCAAGTATGGCTAGTGCCAAAATGTACAAATGGGAACCTGCCAGAAGTGCAGACTGAACGAGATCAATGTTTGTTGAGGTCAAAGAGATTAGAATTGAAGAAACAGGTCCTGCAATGAAGACAGACTCACTTCTCCAAGTGAATTGGAGCTAAGGAATGGGAAGACAGGTGCAGGAGAAATGATCTCATGGGAGGGGTTCTGGCTTTTTAGAAGTGGTTCATACTGGTATAATCATTGTGAGAGCAACCCTGCATTCAGGTAAAGAGCTCTTGGTTTCATGGGCCTGGGATTCATGTATTCAAGTTTCCAGGCTGTTCCTGTGTCCTGGTCTTGTGAGGCATAGTTTTGCCTGTCTTTGATTTATGTATCTTGTCTTTAAATATCTCGATGGAATTGTTTTAGAGACTTTCCTTGAATAGATTTTTGGACTTTTGACTTTTATGGACTTAATCTTTTGTTGATTCCCTTTTTTATATTTTCTTGCTTTTCATATATTCAGTTTATTAACCTTTTATTATACTCTGCTTTTAATAAACTCTTACTTTGGATCACCTGGACAGTGTGTGGTTTGTGGTGGAAAGAGGCTTCCAGGTCCTAGTGCAACAGCAGCTCTACTGGAAGGAGGCAAGCCCCAAAAAGTCCATGTCCATATTGGGAAAAGTAAATGAGTCCTTGATTGGTTTTAGTTGTTTAGTCCTTGGTCATGAGAAAATGTTCTGGGAAAAATCAGGGGTGAGGGATCTTGAAACAAAAGGCAATGATTTAAATGAGAGTATATACTTTGAGTCCTTGTTTCCACAGCTAGCACTCTCTGCCCTGTTTAGACAATCAGCTGAGCAAATACTTGTGAGTGCTATCAGATTAGAAACAGAAACCACCTGTAGATTTAAACATGTGCACAATGGGTCCCAATCAGGCCTATAGCGAGGGGGGGGGGGTTTAGGGGTTCAACCCCCCCCGAAATGTTTCAGATTTTTTTAAAAAACCTGGTTTACTCATGAGTTTTAACTGGTTAACCTAATCCCCATGTTAAGTCTATGAGATGCAAAAAATTAAGAGTCCCTCCAGAACTGCCAGCACTATCTCAAGCAAATATTGACAATTTATTCACACTGTCATTACTTGCAGCAATAGCCGATGTAGTGAAGCAACCAAGTTGGGGGGGGGAGGGGTTGAATGCTCTCATTAAAGGTAATGGTACTCACCTTTAAGACCTTGCGTGGTCTGGGGCCGATGTACCTGAGGGACTGTCTCACCCCCTACCAACCCCAGAGATCCCTCCATTCTGAGAACCAAGATTTGTTGGAAATTCGCAATGTCAAGACCTTGCATCTAACAGCAACCAGACGCAGAGCCTTTACAGCAGTGGCACCATCACTCTGGAATACTCTGCCACCTGAAGTCCATGCCTTGTGGGACTTATCAGCTTTCCACAGGGCATGTAAGACATATCTGTTTCGACAGGGCTTTGATCTTTGATATTGCTGTTTTTGAACTGTTTTAAATTGTTTTTAAATTGTGTTAGATTTTAGCTTGTTCTTGTAAGCCGCTCTGAGCCCCAGGGGAGTGGCAGCATATACATTGGAATAATAAATAAATTAAGGAGGCCAGACATGGTGGAGGTGGTTGACAGGGGCGGAGCTGCAGGCTACTGAAGGCTGCTCTGCCCCCTGCTGTGCTCTTTGCTTCAGCGTGAGCTAGGAGGCAGGTTTCAAACCCCCCCCCCCCCGAAAATTTCAACCCCTCCCAAAAAACTTTTCTGGCTACAGCCCTGGTCCCAATTGTCCCCTTTGTCTAGGGCAGGGGTCCAAATTAATTTTAATCTCTTTCATGTAATCCATTACTAATGTACAAACCGTTGTTTTCAAATATCTGCCTTGTGTTTTTGCTACTAAAAAAGTCAGTTTATCCATATTCATCATGTCCAGAATCTTGGCTATACATAAGTCTATAGAGCAGTGGTTCTCAACCTGGGGGTCGGGACCACTGAAGGGGTCGCGAGGGGGTGTCAGAGGGGTCGCCAAAGACCATCACAGACAGTATTTTCTGTTGGTCATGGGAGTTCTGTGTGGGAAGTTTGGCCTAATTCTATCGTTGGTGGGCTTCAGAATGCTCTTTGGTAGTAGGTGAACTATAAATCCCAGCAACTACAACTCTCAAATGTCAAGGTCTATTTTCCCTGAACTTCACCAGTGTTCACATTTCGGCATATTGAATAGTCGTGCCAAGTTTGATCCAGATCCGTCATTGTTTGAGTCCACAGTGGATGTAGGCGAACTACAACTCTAAAACCCAAGGTTAATGCTCACCAAACCCTTCCAGTATTTTCTGTTGGTCATGGGAGTTCTGTGTGCCAAGTTTGGTCCAATTCCATCGTTGGTAGTTCAGAATGCTCTTTGAATGTAGGTGAACTATAAATCCCAGCAACTACAACTCCCAAATGACAAAATCAATCCTTCCATCCCAACCCCACCAGTATTCAAATTTGGGCATATTGGGTATTTGTGCCAAATTTGGTCCAGTGAATGAGAATACATCCTGCATATCAGATATTTACATAACAATTCATAACAGTAGCAAAATTACAATTATGAAGTAGCAATGAAAATAATTTAATGGCTGGGAGTCACCACCATATTAAGGGGTCGCGGGATTAGGAACGTTGAGAACCACTGCTGTAGAGGGTGTTTCTTTTTGTCTCCACATTCTCGCATACACAATCCTCGTCGCCATCATCAGGTAGTAGAATATTTTATCATTATTGATGTCCCAGTCTATATCAATCATGCCTAGTCAGGCCCGTAGCCAGGATTTCAATTTGGGGGGGGGGCTGAGTTTGTTTCGGGGGGGGGGTGAGTCTGAGTGAAAGAGGGTCTACCCTAGCAAACCTTTTGTATCGTTACCCCAATACCCCCATGCATATGGGATATATTGAGTATGGTGATCAGATCATGATATGAATAAACATAACAGTTTAAATAATGCACCAGTAAGGCCTTTTCGCGGACCACCATGAGAATTTGGGGGGGGGCTGAAGCCCCTCAAGGCCCCCCCCCCCCCCCCCCAGCTACATGCCTGTGCCTAATAGAAAGTGTTCTGGTTTGAATTGAATTTTTGTCTTTAGAGTTTTTTGGCAAGCTTCGTGAATCTCTTTCCAATATCACTTCGCCCTTTTGCAGTGCCACCACATATGTAAAAAATTTCCCTCTTGCTTCCCTCATTTCCAAGAATTGTTAATCATATGTTTGTTAAAATTTTTAGGTGTTATGTACCATTTGGTTCATCATTTTCAGCCAGTTTTCTTGAATATCATATAAATGTGTGTATTTTAATTTTTTTAGTTCAGATCTTCTCCCATTGATCCATTTCTCTTTATTATCTGTAGAAATATTTGCTGGTTATGTGCACTTTTTGGTTTTTATCTAGATGCCGCAGAATGACATAACACTTAGGTAAAAAGATACAGCCAAGTAACCCAGCACTGGATGCCAAAATAGAGAAGATCTCCACAGCCATAATATATTTCCCTTTGGTACTGAGGTAGGCTGGGATGAAGGATATCCAGACCACACAGAAAACCAACATGCTGAAAGTGATGAATTTGGCTTCATTGAAGACATCAGGCAGATTCCTGGCAAGAAAAGCCACAATGAAGCTGACCAAAGCCAAGACACCCAAGTACCCCAGAATGGAATAGAAAGCAATGGGTGAGCCTTCATTGCATTCCAGGATGATGTGCCCAGGCTCTGAATACAAATCAGCACCTGGGACTGGAGGGGAGGTTCCCAACCAGACCATACAAATCACAGCCTGAATGAGGAAACAGACCATCACAAAGAGGTATGAAAATTTGGGTCTCAGCCATTTCTGTGCACCGCTGCCTGGCTTTGTGGCCTTGAAGGCTAGAATCACGGTGATGGTTTTGGCCAAGACTGTAGCAAGAGAGACAGAGAAAATGATCCCAAAGGCTGTCTGTCGAAGAATGCAGGTCATTTTCCTTGGTCGGCCGATGAAGAGCAAGGAACAGAGGAAACAGAGTATGAGGGAAGAGAGGAGGATATAGCTGAGGTGCCGGTTGTTGGCTTTGATGATGGGAGAATCCCTGTGCTTAATAAAGATTCCTAGTACCAGGGCAGAAAGGAAAGAGAAATAGAGAGCAAGGGAAGCTGAAGCTATTCCCAAAGGTTCTGCATAGGATAGAAAGATGATGTGCTTTGGGATACACTTCTTTCTTTGTTTGTTTGGATAGAAGTCCTCTTTGCATTTCATACATGAATCCATATCTAAAAGGGGGGAAAAATGAAAAGATATCATTTTATTTTCTGCCTTAGCTCAGATATTTGGAATTCCATATCACATATGTGCATAAAACAGTACAAAAACACCTTCACCATTTGGAGCCATGGAGAAGAAGAACTCAACAGGTTCCTGGACCATCTTAACAGCATCCACCCAAACATCCAACACGCATCAAGGAAATGAAGGAAGGCTTCCTTTTCTAGATGTAATAGTCATCTGCAAACCGGATCAACAATTGGGTCACACCGTTTACAGAAAACCCACACACACAGATAGATATCTACATAAAAACTCCAACCATCAACCAAATCAAAAAAGAAGCACCATTAAAGCCTTGGCAGACCATGCAAAAAGAATCTGCGAACTCCACCTTCTCCAAGATGAACTGAACCACCTAAACTGGGCTCTACAGGCCAATGGATACTCCACCTCAGAGAGTAAAGATGAAGATTCACCCAGAGGAAAAGCGTTTTTGCCATACAAGGGAACCACTGATCGCATAGGGAAGCTGATGAGGAAACACAACATACAAACTATCTACAACCCACCAAGAAAATCCAACAAATGCTCCGTTCAGCAAAGGACAAGAGGGATCCTCTCACCTCTGCAGGAGTCTACCGTATACCATGCAGCTGTGGACAAGTCTACATAGGGACCACCAAACGCAGCGCCCAGACACGCATCAAGGAACATGAAAGGCACTGCAGACTAATTCAACCAGAGAAGTCAGCCATAGCAGAGCACCTGATGAACCAACCTGGACACAGCATATATCTGAGAACACAGAAATGCTGGATCAATCTAACAACCACCATGTCAGAACACAGAGAAGCCATGAAATCCACAAGCATGTGGACATTTCAACAGAAAGGAAGAGACCCTGAAAATGAACAAAATCTGGCTACCAGTATTAAAAAACTCTAAAATTATAACAGCTAAACAACAGAGAGGAAAAAACCAGGCACAGATTAACACCTCCCAGCAACAGATTTTCCCAGGCTCAAGCAGGTGATCAGCTAAACATTCACACCTAACTGCAGCAGGGAAGAGCTCCTTGCCCCACCCCAGCCATTCCACAGATATATAAACCCATTTTTCCTACTTCCAACAGACCTCACACCTCTGAGGATGCTTGCCACAGATGCAGGCGAAACGTCAGGAGAAATGCCTCTAGAACATGGCTCTATAGCCCGAAAAAACCCACAAGAACCTACAAAATTTATTATTTGGCACATTAGTTGGTGGGAAATGTAACTGTAGAGCTATGCCTACCTGACTGATTGGAGATTGTTCCTTTAGGGCATTCAATGCACCGGAAGCAACATTTTGGTTTGTCCTTCAAAGGCATCTTCTGGAATCCAGGTAAGCATTTATGACTGCACACAGAAGAAGGAGGCTATGCAGATTCAATGTCAAGAAGTTACAGAAAATGTAAACAATGCCTTTTCTCCCCATTAACATTAAACATGCCTCCATAATGACTGTCATAAGGAAGAGGGATCAAACTTGTTTTCCGATGCCCTGGGGACTAGGACCCAGTGCAATAGGTTCAAATTACAGGAAAGGAGACTCCACCTGAACATTAGGAAGAACTTCCTGATTGAACAAGCTGTTCAACAGTGGAACTCTCTGCTTTCGAGTGTGGTGGAAGCTCATTCCTTGGAAACTTTTAAATAGAGGCTGGATGATCATCTGTCAGGGATACTTTGATTGTGGTTTTCCTGCATGGCAGGGGTTTGGATTAGATGGCCTAAATGGTCTCTTCCAACTCTATTATTCTATTATTCTAATGCCGTTTCGCTGGTTCTCCAAGTTTTTATTTTATTTATTTGGGGTGCTTATACCCCACCCTTCTCAACCCCCTAGGGGGGACTCAGGGTGGCTTACAAAAGGCACAATTCGATGCCTAACAATTACAACATACAATGGAGTATACAGTACACAAATTTACCATATAAAATCACAGTTATCACTAATTAAAACAATCAACAATATACTAGCAGCAGTAAAACATCTTGTGGTCAGTGTTCACCAAATCCAGTCCGTAAACCATTTAGCATTGTCATTGTCCTTTCCTACTTTGATCATTGTTAGTTGTCTTTTGAAAGTTTGAAATCCTTTCATATATGGGAAGTCAGACTTATATGGGAAGCCATGGTAGTCCACACTCTGCTTAAGCATTCTATGTGGGGTTGCCTTTGAAGACTGTTCAGAAGCTTCAAATGGTCCAACGGGCGGCAGCCAGATTGCTCACCAGAGCAGCGTACAGGGAGCATACAACTCCTCTACTGCATCAGCTCCACTGACTGCCAATCTGCTACCAAGCACAATTCAAAGTGCTGACTTTAACCTATAAAGCCCTAAACAGTTCTGGCCCAGCTTACCTGTCCAAATGGATTTTCCCCTATCAACCATCTCAGAGCTTAAGATTGTCTTGGGAGGCCCTGTTCTCAGTCCCACCCCCTTCGCAGGTGTGACTGGTGAGGACGAGAGACAGGGCCTTCTTAGTGGTGGCTCCTCGGCTGTGGAATTTCCTCTCTAGGGATATTATCATTTTACTCTATTTATTATTCTTACAGTTATTATTTCCCCTATTAATTACTGTTATTATTACATTTCCATTATTCTATTCTATCATCATTATCATCATCATCATCATCATCATCATCTCTTTATTATTATTGGAAGGATGTGTAATACATATGCATATTTACATTGAAGGAGGTTAGAATAATGGTTTAATAAGAGTTGGGCAGTCTTATCTTAAATGACAGTTTTATGTAAATATTCAAAAACATTTAATCTACTGATGCCTCAACTAATGTAATTGTATGGGTATTTATTTTTATTTTAAATTTACCAGCCTCGGTTTATGCTCGGTTTATACCTAATTTTGTGGTAAAATTAGGTGCCTTGGCTTATATTCTGGTCGGCTAACACTCGAGTATATATGGTAAATAAATTTTGGCTTCCACTATTGTATATTGTACCTTTCAATGTCCGTTCAAAATATTTTATTTCCTTGAGATGTTTGGTTTATTTATACCACAACTTTGTATCTTTTGCTGGTAGAGGATTTTTTTTTAAAAAAACAAGCATTTTAAGGGATTGAGATATATAATATTATTTTGATATTGTTATACTTGTCCCTCCCTCTGGGACCCACTTTTTGGTTGAATGACAATACCTAGCGTTTTTAAAATATCCTCTCTCAAAGACAACAAAGTTTTTTAAAACAACTCACCTGGATAAATTTGCCATTCCACAAGGTCATCTTTTCATTAATGGCAATACTATAGTTTTTTGTGGAATTGTGAGTCACTTCCCCAATGTGCACACTGACCAGAGAGCCATTGTTAAGTCCAATCCAATTTAAAATATCAAAAGTTGCCAATTCTCCAGTCCCGTTTAAAAAGGCATCTTCAACAACACTGTTGTTGAAAAGTGTTTTCTTAAGAACACTGTGGATCTGAATACAACAGAGAATATGTCAGCATGCTGTAATAACTGAACTGTAGCAGAATGAAAATCATGCGTAGTTCACATCTTTACCAGTCCACACACTGTCTCTCTAGAGAAAAGATATGCCATGCAGATGATCACTAAAGAATAAGGTGTTTACTCTTTGTTTTACAGAACAACATATGATCATCAAGTTTGCAGGTGACACCAAATTGGGAGGGATAGCCAATACTCCAAAGGACAGGAGCAGAATTCAAAACGATCTTAACAGATTAGAGAAATGAAGTTCAACTGGGACAAATGCAAGATACTTCACTTAGGCAGAAAAAAAATGAAATGCCAAGATACAGAAAGGGGTGCTTGGCCTCTGTGACGGTCTGGATGACGGCAAATTGAAATTGAATCCAGACAGGACCGAGGTATTCCTGGTCAGTCGAAAGGCCAAACAGGGGTATAGGGTTACAGCCTGTGCTGAATGGGGTTACAGTCCCCCTGAAGTCACAGGTTCGCAGCTTGGGAGTTCTCCTGGACCCATCACTGAGCCTGAAACGTCAAGTTTTGGTGGTAGCCAGGGGATCTTTTGCACAATTACAACTTGTACGCCAGCTGTGCCCATAACTTTGGAAGTCAGACTTGGCTATGGTAGTCGATGCTCTTGTTACATCTTGTATAGATGACTGCAATGCGCTCTACATGGGGTTGCCTTTGGCGACTGTTATATAAATATGTGAGGGGAAGTCATAGGGAGGAGGGAGAAAGCTTGTTTTCTGCTGCCCTAGATACTAGGATGCGGAACGAGAGACAGGGCCTTCTCTGTGGTGGCCCCTTGGCTATGGAACTCTCTCCCGAATGAAATTAGATCTGCCCCCTCCCTCCTGACCTTTAGGAAGCTAGTAAAATCATGGCTATGGGATGAGGCATTCCCAGAACGATGGCTGAGACCGGCAATTGACCAAAGTTATGGACCACAAGATACAAACTGAATTGGACATGATTTTATCTTGGTGAATTGGCTTATATGTATTTTACCCTATATGTATTTTAATTCACTGTTGATGTTTGTTGTTAGAGTGTTTTAATATTTTAGATTGTACTGTTAGCATTGAATCCTTGCTGAGTCCCTCTACGGAGGCAGAGAAGATTGGGATATAAAAGTTTAAAATAAATAAATAAATAATGGATTCAAACTACAGGAAAGGAGATTCCACCTGAACATTAGAAAGAACTTCCTGACTGTGAGAGCTGTTCAGCAGTGGAACTTTCTGCTCCAGAGTGTGGTGGAGACTCCTTCTTAGGAGGCTTTTAAGCAGAGGCTGGATGGCCATCTGTTGGGGGTGTTTTGAATGCAATTTTCTTGCTCCTTAGCAGAGGGTTGGACTGGATGGCCCACCAGGTCTCTTCCAACTATGATTCTATGATTCTAAGAAGATGGACTCACCTGCCAGAGAGGGATGTTTCCAAGTCTCAGACTATATTTCTTGTTTTTCTGGTCGAACCTGTCCACAGACAGATTGTGAAGTGCTTTAGCCAGTCCAAGTACAGCCCTGAAAATGATATAACTCAGAGGGCTCATGTTCATTTCGAAGCGAGAAACAAGGGAATCACCCAGCCTCTCCTCTCCAGTACACCAATTTCTTCCAAACCTCGGAGACAGTGAACGAGGAGGAGGCAAGGTGCAATCAAATTCTTGACTCCAAAAAGTCTTCATGAAAATGTCATCAGGATACTTGTTTGGAGTCACAGACTGGAGAAAAGACTGGAAACCTGGTACTACTCTCTTTTGAGAACCAATAGACAAAGCACCAGAGAATAGACTTGCATCTATATATCTATCATTTTTCCATTCACACATTGTCAACCATACTTTCCCTATGAATGTAGTATAAGAATGTCCATGTACAATGGAAAGGAATTTGCTGTCTCCATAAACAAAGACGATTTTGCTGGAAGACTTCCACAACTCTTTTTCTCTCTGCATCAGTTCAACGAAAAAAGAAAAATATTCTTGGAACAAAATTATATATTCATGACAGATCCCGTTCTTTTTCATTTCCTCTTCCAGATTGTAGAGAACGTTCTCACTTTTGCCATATGCAGAAGCAATGAATCCAATCCAAGTCCAACCAAAGTGAAGAAGCAATTGGATGGCACCCTTAAACTGAAGATATAAGGAGGGGAATTTGATTTTATCAGCTAAGACAGGGTCAGAGGATCCATAACTGATCTGTGAAAACACAAAGAGTTCTCAGATCCCTCAAAAGTGCATCAGTAATTGCTCTCCAAGAAACCTAGGTCCTAAAGGATGTCAATATCCTAGGTTACCGGACATTCAGCATCAGCCACTAAATCAAAGATCTTGGGTCATCCAAAGGGGGGCTTGGCTATAGTTGTTTCATCAAATATAGCTGCCTCCAGTTTTACTAATCTTCCACCATTGGCACAAGCAGTCCATTTAACTTTTGCAACCAGAAAAATAATCTTTGTTAACACCCATATCCCAAGTGGCCTGGGAAATAAGTTACCACAAGAATTCATCAATGGAGACAGTGTGGTCTTAACTCAGGAGTTGGAATAGTTAGATATTAGTACACATTGGGCCACAAAAGATCAGTCAAACACTCTCATAGAGAATAATAGGGAAAGGAAAACACATATGGATGCCATATAAACTTATCAGAAGAAAGATAAGATATCAATGCTTTAAAAAAAATACATTGGAGGAATTTTAGAACACAAGATTTTCAGTCTTCCAGGAGCATAGTTTGCATTACCTTTTAGTTGCATGGGATAGTGTTCTTTTGCATTTCCCCAGAGCTGCTACAGACCCAGCAGCACCCTGGAAGTTAAACAGTATCAGAGTCTGCAAAGCCAGACTGCAGGCCCTTTGCATTTATTGGTTTAGAAAAGTATCTCTTTGGGTTTAGAGACCGCCCTTTTCCCAGGGGATGAGATCTCCATTTTGGAATCTCCCCTGCCTCCTTCAGTAGAGAAAAAAAGCTTCAGATGTGCTGTTGGTCAGCTAGGTAGCTCTGAAAAAATCATTGTAAGTACGATTGAGTTGACTGAGTTGATTGAGTGATTGAGTTATATAGATAAAGAAGCTAATTGAGATACATAGCAATTGAGTTATAGATAGCAATTGAGATATAGAAAAGTTATTGAATATTATTAAGCAGTACTTCATCTCCAAAGCTAACCTTGAGGTATAGATAGGGAAAAACCTGTTTTTCTAACCATAGCAGCTCAGGGTTAGGGTGAAAGGATCCCAGGATATTTTCTACCTTTTGGGGAAGAGTTACCTCAGTAACTGAAGAAAAAAGAAAGAAAGATCATCTCTATGGTTTCACCAATTGATTGTTTTGTTTGTATCTTTGACAAGCTGTGCCAAGTCTGCAAGGACTTTGAGAAATAAATATTCTGTTTTGGTGTTCAAAACCTGTAGTAGCCTCAATTGCTGGGAATCTCAAGCTCCAAAAAAGAAAGACCCCCGTGTTCCGCCCAGATAAAGAGAGAAGCACATCTTAGTTTTATTTTTATAGGATCTGGGTGTGACGGCACAGCTTGTTCTATTGACTTGAATGTTTATAAGTGACAGTAGTTTTGAGGGCTATGACTACAAATTTTCCTTATGGCAGTAATAGTAAGATCTTGTGAAACAGAGACAAAATGAATATGTATAACTGCTGAGCTGTTGAACTTGCCAAGCAAAAGGTTGGCGGGTCAAATCCGGGGAGCAGGATGAGCTCCTGTTGTTAGCCCCAGCTCCTGCCAAACTAGCAGTTTGAAAACATGCAAATGTGAGTAGATCAATAGGTACCAGTCTGGCAGGAAAGTAATGGCGCTTGATGCAGTCATGCTGGCCACATGACCGTGGAGGTGTCTACGGATAACTCTGGCTCTTTGGCTTAGAAATGGAGATGAGCACCATGTCAGGATTATTGAAAGTATGCATATATGTTTTTTCAATGTGTTTCAATATGTTTAACAATAGTGTTCATATGTATTCAAGATGGATTCAGTTATGTTCAATTGTATGCTGGAATTGTTGTTGTGTGAGACAGAGAGGTAGAGAGAGAAGACACCTTGGCAGAAATAAGATAACAAGTTATCTCTGTTTGGGAAGAATTAGGGAGTAGCCGGCTTACAGCCAAAGAGAAACTGATAAGCAGATGTTCTGTAACCGTACTATAGTTGTGCTTTGTAGTTCCTGTGTTCGTTCCATATTAAGCTCGCTTGGAAGTAGACGTGTATTAAGATGTGCTAAGTAAACTTTGTTATTTTCTGAAACTGGCAGACTGCAGTGTCCTGTTTTGTGTCTGTGTGATCTAGTAACCTCATCTCCGCTATGCATAGACCCCAGGGTCTCACTCTGATACACCACCCCCCAGAGTTGGACACGACTAGACTTAATGTCAAGGGGAAACTTTTACCTTTACTATGTTTAAAAATGTATTTGTATTCAGTGCAACTTTATATTCACAATAACCCTATGGAGCATTTATTTATCTTTCAAATTTAGGAACCACCTTTACATTAAAATAGTACTCAACAAAAATACTATGAGCAATAAAACACATAAGTCATGAAATAAACAAAAGTAACCAAACAAATGGCACCCAGCACCACCACATTCTGCAGCAAACAAATTACATTAAAGCCTATAATATCTTTACCAGCTGGTCCAAGAACACAAAAGACAGAGTCAGATTTATTTTCCTTGGTAGGGAATTCCAGAGCTCAGGAGTCACAATCAAAACGCTCTTCTTCAGTATATTCATCTAATATGCTGCCAGTGGATAGGACGAGATCCTT